ATAAACAGTAACATAATAATTACAATCTGTAAATTTAAGCAAACATTATTTTATTAACAGTAAATTTCTAGATTCATATCTTTTATAAAGAGGGATGTCTGATAGAACAACATTGACAGTTTAACCCTTTAAACACACAAAACACTAAATACCACTCAAGCAAAGTACAGCTATCACAAACTTTATATCAGGCAAGCTTCAAATATTACTACCACATACATTTTCCAGTTACCATTTATATGTCAGGCCAATTCATTTTCTCAAAAAAAATTTAAAATATTGAGGTATCTTGTAAATGTATGTTGTATTTCACTTCAGCTTAACATGGAAAAATGAAGGCATCTATCACATCTAAAATAAGATATCCAAAATTATTTTTAAAATACCAATCAACAAAGTCATCCATGGTGATTCACTGTCATCATCATCATCATCTTGTACTTTTCTTTTATTGGAATTATAATGTTTCTCAGATTGGGGGATCTCACTATTTGTATTAAGATTTTCATAAGTATGATATTTTTTTACAAACTCCTCATACTCATCTGTTTCATCATTGCTAAGGTAATAAATATTAAATATGAATGTTGTATTGTGGTAATTAGGATGACCATATACACTGACCTCCACCGGACGATTAAACGACCGGGGTATATCAATGGTGTCTATACCACATGTTGCTGATTTTAAATCATAGTCTACATAGGATGGATGTGGTATTTTATCAGACATGGTCTGTGACACATATATATCTGCATCGCCCGTAACTGAAACCACCTCCAGTCGATGATTACCGGGTTGTGTTATACGGAAATAAGAGTAATTCTCAGCACCAACTAAATCCTCGTACGAATGCCATAAAACTTGACAAGGCACAAGATGGAACAATTCAAAACAAAAAAGAATATAAAGCAACTGAAAACTGTTCAATTCAGACATTGGTTTAATCAAGATAGGTCGATTCCTGAAAACAAAAAAGATAAATTAAATTATATTAAAATTAATCACACTAGATAGATAGACTTCAGCTACAGTCTGTCCAATAAATGATTCAACGCTTTATTTACTGGAGCATTTCTAGATGTGCCTGTTAATGCTACATGTAACCTAAAATGGCCAACATTAGTTTTCACCTTACAATAGTAGTTCTTACAATGACAATAAATGCAGAATGCAAGTGGTACCATAAATCTCACAGGTATTAAAGGAATAATAGGTCTAAATTTTAATTGCCAGTCCTAGTGGTTCAGTCAGTAAGAACCAATTTTCCACATACTGAATAATGACTCATTCACTGCACTAGAGTTGAAATAGAAACAAATAGTTTCAAAATCGAAGTGTATGACATTTTCTGTCCTGCTTCTAGAAACTGCGGATATTCAACGATTCTATTTCCAGAGTTTTACGTTTAAAACGGTTTAGCTTTTAATCGATCACAATCACGTTAACCTCTTATGGATTCAATGACAAATGTAGACTATACCAGATGAAGTCAAAGAATTGTTTTGACAATTACAAAATTTACATAGTGATAGGCCTATAATGTTGATATCAATGCACATGTGATTTAACATGTTAATATTCTAATATTATTTAACTAAATTTTAATATATATTTTTACACTTTTTACTTTGACACTGTATAAGCTTATATAAGGAGATATTAAACCCTGTAATTCCTTTTTTTCTATTATCAGTTTATTAGAGAATAAACTTGATATAAATGATAATGAAAAGGATAGCCAAATTACATAACTGATCTACCGGTATTGACATTTAATTTATCTCTTCGATTCTGTATTTTACTATTGTCAGATTATACCAGGAAGACTATGCATTAATGAAAGTTTAAAGGAGTCAAATCACTAATATTTGGGACCTAGAAATTGACTCAAATGGGTCGCAACACATATAATAATGTAATCTGATTGTATATAAACTGATTTACATTCAATTGTTTTCGTTTTGACTCAAATTTCAAATCAGTTATGTCCAGCGAAATACGGCATGAGTCTCAACCGAATGGCAATTTCTAGCGTCTGGTTATTCCAGTCTATTTCGCATGCTCTCCAGATAAAATATGGCGTCACCGTTTGACATAAGTTGTGCAAATATGTCTAGTCTCGTTTTTTCTGGTCACTTAATCAAAATATGCAAGCTCATCACGAGGCTCAAAACAATAGAGGTAGTCAAAGACTACACCTATACACCAATCAAATGCCCGTGTGGACGTATCGCAACCACCTCTCACTTACTAATAGATTGCAATCAGTTAACAAACAGACGACAATCAATGATTGACAATCCAACAAAGAGGGGCAGAACCTTTTGTCTCAATTCTCTGCTTTCCCCACACCCAGATGACAGATACTGGACCTCCCAGTTTATCTGGGACTTCATAAAAAGTATAGGTATGGAAAAATTCATATAATGATAAACGAAAACAAAAGCTAGGTAACCAACCAACAGCAAGGCGGCGCGCAAAAATGTCCCCTAGAGGGTAACGCCTACCACCTAGCTCCACTAAACCAAATTAAACAAATGAACTAATCAATTTAAAAAAAACACATAGCAAGGTGAGGCGCAAAAATGTCTCCTAGAGAGAAAAGCCAACCGCCTTGCACTACTAAAACAACTTGACAGGGTTAAAACGTAAGAATGTCCCCACAGAGGGAAACGTAACACACCCTGTCCAAATATTATCATTTTTTTTTATCTCGATTATTTTTCTCAGTTATATTTTACTTTATCTCTATTTCTATTTTTATCTTATTCAAAATAAATAAACATTGATTGTATTTTTTTTTTTCTCTCTCTCTCCCTCCCCCCTCCCCGAATCCTTACTAGACCAAACAAAACCAGAATAGTTGTAAGATCAGATAACCTCTTTCTCTCTCCTCTTTCTTTTCAGGTGCTGGATTCTTCCTTCTGAGAACCAATAATAAAAGGAAAGAACAAGAAGCAAAGATGAAACCTACCACCATACCGGACTAGAAGATGAAATGGAAGGAAGAATGGCCCAGGCCCCACACTCACCAACAAATCCCAAGGAAGATGTGCACCCAGGGCTGCCGACAACCAGTATCGCAGCGCAATTTGCGATACATATTTTGTCCGTTGCTAATCAAAAATTAAAATCTAAAGTTTTTGATTCGCAGTAACTGCGAATCATTAATATGCCTGTCATTTTGGATATTGACACAAGGATAATCCACATTTGAAGACTAGAAAGCTTTCTCAACAATTTCAACGAGTATAAAATGTTGAATAAAATTTTATAAACAAAACTGAATTCTCCGTGTGACATTTTCTTCTCGAACTACCCAGACACAATTCATTATACGGTACTATATAATACAGGGACATAACTCTATGAATAGGGACTATTAAACCGGAAACAGGGAATCAAGTAGTACCACTCACGTTGCGAGACATCAAGTAATTATATGACATTTTAAAAGAAATAAATCCAGTGTATCCTCTACGTATTGTAAATAAAATATAAAAAAATAAATGTTAACGTATTGTAAAATGATAAATCAAAGTAAAAATTCCCGTAAAATATCACGTGTGTCTAGTCAATCGAGGTGCGCCCGATTGAACAAAAAAAGCAATACACGATTAAAAGCAGACGAAATTCTTTTCTTATGAAGATTTCTAACGTACAAAAAATAACAATTAAAATGATTGGGGCTTCGGAAGTCACTGTTAAGAATTGGCTTCAGACATAAGACCTAACTAAATGTCTACATCACATTCACAAACTGTCACAAGTACTTGTGGCAGTCCTAAAAAAATCTAAGATTAGTAAGAATGGAATCTAATCATATTTGTTATGAACTAAAGTAATATCTTGTTATTTAGGTGTTTTATGTTGAAACTGAAAAACTGCTAATCAATTTTTAAATTTGCTAATCAAATTTGGCAAAACCGACAGCCCTGTGTGCACCGCCCTGCCATTCAACCGGACAAATCGACCTGACTGACAGAAACGACTTATATATATATATGTGTACATACTATGTCTAAATGTTTGTCCGCGTTCATCTCTGTTTTGTCCAATATTCGTTTTGTGTGTCCGTCAATATAATGTATGTCTATCCACACTTGCACTTATTTCATTTTGCACTTGTCATAAAACCTTTATCGTCCCGTCTTTTACTGTCTTCTGTACATATATATAAATATCTAATAATTCTTTAATCCTTTTTTCACTAATCACATTGTAAAATACTGCACCATGTATACAGTAACATAACATGTTATTGTGACCTGCGATATCACCTCGGTGGAAGCGGATGTAAAATACAACTAACTCACATACACACGCCCTAGTTCCTATCATGGCGCAGTTGCCATTGGAAAAAGTCTGGTGAACTACGAGCAGCAACAGAATAGCCTTACTGGCCAAAGCCTCAATTTTCAATGTTAACCAGTTGAACCTGCATTACTTATACTTTCACTTTGATGAAGGAATTTTTACTTATAAAAATCCCTGCTTTGATTTGGTAAGTGAAATATGGTATATTTCATAAGCAACTTACATTTTACTGAAAAACTGTTTATCACCTATTCTTACATCAAGAAGCCGCTTTTTATCAAATAAATAAAGGACTTATTCGATGAATAACACTGATTATGTTTTATTTTGAGGGAGTGAAAAGCACTTCCGTGTGTAAAACGTAGAAATTGATGAGGAAAAGTCAATTCGACAAAAGTTCATTCGTCACTTTCTCAATCAAGATAACCAACTCGTAACCAAATCATCTCCATCGTATCAATGGTTTACATATGTCTGAAATATATACCTATTTTAAGTTTTATTTTCTTGAATGCAACTTGATTTGAAATCAAACTTAGATTGTGGTACTTTATATTGATTGCGTGATTTATTTAAAAATATGCATGCGTGGATTTGCATTTAATAATAATTAACGCGGGCAACCGATTGATTCTCTTTGTCTTATCGTGTACGTCACGATTCTGTGTGTATTACTTAGCTATCCAGACGAAAGTGTCTTGTAGACTTTTACCACAAGTCACAAAACAAAGATGGCAAACGAAACTGATTGTTGGAGAAGAAAAAATTCTGTTCAAACCTAGACTGAATTCTGATACACTTTTCATTGAAAAATGATCCAACAAGTTCAATACATGGATTCCATAACGTACCCACCAATTCCAGAATCTAATGAACAATCTACGGTACTTTATCACTCAGTAGACTAAAATAGTGAAATAACTTTATTTTGTTTTTTTGGAAACGATGTGGTGGGAATAGGGTATGATTGCGCCAAGAGAGAGTAAAAGAATGCAGAAATGCTTGAAAAAAAAATTCGGGTGTCTGTTATATAGGCGATAAGGTCCCCACCATCCAGAAATTAGCTCTTTTAAGATGAACATAGACTTCAGTGAATGTTCAACCTTAACAACTGAAGGAAATTTCTAAAAAAAAAAAAGTGATTAAGCTAGTGCTACCAAACATCTCTAGTCACTAGTGCATGTTTGTTGTCAGTAAGCACTAGCTTGTAATCACCTCAAAACATTCTTGGACATGATATTGTCCATACAGCTGCTGTCAAATGATAAAGCCTTTTAAAAATTTATTGCAAATGAGTCTGATTTATTTAAATTGTCAGTTGTGACCAGCCTAATTTGACAACCACTTTCGAAAGTCTCAACCGAATGCCAATTTCTAGCGTCTGGTTATTCCAGTCTATTGTGCATGCTCTCCAGATAAGATATGGCGTCACCGTTTGACATGAGTTGTTGAATATGTCTAGCCTTGTTCCTCCTGGTCACTTGTTACAAATGACGCTGAAACGCACTATGGTACACGATTCATGTACCAATGGCTGGCAATGGTAAAATGTTTATTTTGTCTTAAATATTGGATATCAGAAGCCTACCTGATGTTGATTTGAATTGACAAATAATTCGTGTTTTCAACTTTGGATGATATTGAGTTAGAGACTTAGCTACTTTAAGCTAAATAATAATATTATATGGATAGGAAGACTTAGCTGATGTTACCAGTACCCAATGGCAATACTACTAAAATACCACTGGTCACATAGTAATATACTGACCGAATACATAGATAGAACTCCATGACCACTGAATACCGCTCAGGTTATTCAATGGTTCAAGAGAGTGTATCCCTGCGCAAATAAACAGATTGGTTGATAAAAAGGTCCCTAGCAATATCATGGTATTTCATAAAGACAATGCAATTAAAAGTTACGCTGCATGATAAAACAATTTTCATTTGTTGTTAAGTAAAGCTGATTGACATACAGGAAATTACCCTCTTTGAGTTGGTCCTCCTCCCTGTCCAAAATTTCCCGGATGGCTGCCTTCTTGCTATATATATATTCTGTTCTGCTCTTGTATAGGTCCATATGATTCTATTTTATGTTTCAGGACTGGGCATATACAATGAGAAGAGACATGCAGGTATGTATTATGCAGATCTGTTAATGAAACATTCAGACCTTCTATGGCAGGGGGGTTGGATGGCTGAATGGCTAGCACATACGTGCTGTATTCCCCGGTTGTACGTGACAAGGAGTAGGGTTGCCTTTCCCACCTCGTGGGTTTTCTCTGGGTCCTACGGTTTCCTCCCACTGCTAAAGACCCCTACGCGCAAGCGAATTATTGAAATGAAATTGAACCATATGTTAGTCCCAAAATGACTCAGTTTGCGTGGTGGACCTTAAACCACCATTACTCTCTCTCTCTCTCTCTCTCTCTCTCTCCCTCTCTCTCCTATGGCAAGAATAAGATTAAACTGTTTTGTATCTAAAGATGTAAGAGCCTTTTCATGTCTTCGTAATTGGTTACAATTATTCTAATAATTAATGTAACAACATAAAAAAATAAAATTATAGGAATGATGTGTTTAACTACAGCTTCTGATGAAATAACAGCTTTCTTCCCAAGTTCCAAGTTCATAAGTTCATACTGGGAAATATTTTCTTTAAAAAAAAGGGGAATTAATTTTTGATTTTAGCCATATATTTGATAATATCTCTCATTCATGTTTTGACATTTAGAATACACACCATAGTATTAGTGAATGGTCATGTCTTTATTTTCGGATCAGTTTAAGTGTTATGTATAAAATAATTGTTTAGTTTTACTTTGATAGTTCATTTTGTAATCATGTGATATTTTTCTTGTTTTTTAGGAAATAATCCCAGGTTTATTTTTAGGACCATATAGTGCTGCATTAAAAACAAAGGTTGTCTTTTAGTAGTTTTAGTAATAGTTTATGGCTACTTGATTTTGATCGGTTGAGCATATTTAGAACATATTAACTCTGCTTCTAACTGAGGTAGAATGTTCAAACTTTGTGTTTATATTCATTAGGTGAATATCTTGTCTGTGTTACATGATGATCATTTTCTGCTTTGACTAAGCAGAGATAAGCAATTTGATTTGTCGATGCTTTGGAACATGATAACTCAATACATCAATACCTTTACTTATGTGGATAATGAGTAACTTCTGCTCAGGTTTCTAGAAGCTTTAGAAAAAGATAAATGTGCATAAAAGTGTCAGCTACATGTAGTTATGGGAGATAAAGGCAAGGGATCTTATCCTCACTGTTAGCTCATTTCAGTAATCTATGAAAACAATTTTGTAATTTTATGCTTTCTATTTCAGTTAGATAATCTGGTCAACAAAGGCATCACACATATAGTGTGTATCAGACAAAATATTGAAGCCCATTTTGTCCGTCCAAATTTTCCAGATCATTTCAGGTAAAAGTTACAAAGTTCTGTTTCTCTGGGGGGAAGAAGGTTCAATATTTGCAGAATTTTTGTAAAGAATTTAATCTGTCTACCATTGGTATGTTGAGATACTATTCTTACGTTTGTTTAATAGTTCGTAGACAATGAGCTGGTTTGGACGTATATAAGGTGGATAAAAGTATGATTTTAGTGTGTAAATTACTATGTTAAATTCCATGTATCGGGTATGTGCCTTTCTTTGCGACAATGCTGTTTCAGTGACTTTAATAATTTATTATTACTCAACAGCATAATTTCAATAATTTGTCATGATTATTTAAGCTAACATTTATTTCCTTTCAGTTATTTAGTATTGGATATTGCTGACCACGTAACAGAAAATATTATTCATCATTTTCCAAGAGTAAGTGGACTATTATCATGAGCTGCAGATAATAATTCTGAATTTTGTCTTCTATGTAAGCTGGGAATTTGATATTACCTGAAGAGCACTTATTGAGATAAAGATGTATGATACGTTAATCTCAAATTGATCTAGTTATGTTGATTCTCCCTGTTGCAACAATATTTTATGATTATTTAGAATTATGTGAAAATTGTAATGTTTGTTGTTATTATAACCTTAGTTTGTTATGATTGTATATTATATAGGTTAGAGAATTTATAGATGATTGTTTTAATCAGTGTGGTAAAATACTTGTTCATGGAAATGCAGGCATTTCTAGGAGGTTGGTATAATACAAATTAATCTACCAATTTTTATTTTGTCTTTATTTTCACACTAGAACCTGTATTGTGTCTGCACATAGTCATAGAGAAAATGAAGTGTAATGACCTTGTTTTATGAGTTTTAGGGATAGGTTCGTGAAATTGGAACGAAAGCATTTTTCCAAAAAATGCCACAGAAATTCCTTCTTCATTATGGCAGCTTTTATGTACGCTAAGGCAAAACTGTTAATTTACTTTCGTCACTACAGCATTTTTAAACTGGGAAACTTTGATTGCTAAAGATTATGAATAATCGTAATATGAATCCGTTTTATTTCTTCGAAATCAGAAGGCCTAAAAATTCTTGCAAGACCGAGAATCTGCTTTGGCTCAGCAACACGAAGATTCGTGCAATTCCATAATCCGTATCCACAATTCCACCAAATATAAGTATCATGATACCAAACTTGTATTTTAAATAAATACTTCACCGTTGAGATGTTGAATTCTGATTCTAAAATATCTGTAATAAACTTATTATCAAAAGACGACTTCACACCTGTGCATGACTTTATATTACATGTACCTTGTGCGGTGGACATGTAATGCCCCCTGGAATTCCTTTCTCATATCCCGTCTATATTTACACTAAAAAATAAATTATATGACACAATTTCCCGACCTAATTGTTTGATTTGGTCAAATTTTCCAGTAAATTATTCATAGCCTTTATTTCTGGAAATTGTTTTGATCTTCTTAAATGATTAAATACACCAGACAATGAGCCGTGTACATTTCCATTCTAGCCACCAGCATGTGATGTTACGGTAGAATTATGTCAGGTGGCTTGGGGGATACGTGGTTTATTTATTTAGATATGAATACTTCATAATGCTATAAACTTGTGTCAAACAGATGAAAACATGCGTCGATGGTGTGAAATTTATTTTTATAAAATTGACTGCTATTTGACTTCCAACTATCTGAGTAACCGTATGATCTATTTTTAGCAGTGTGGTTCGAGATCTAACTCGATAGATAAATGCAGTCGCGAGAACTCAGGAAAGAAACAAAACAATAAATTCCTACTTTCGATCATGCCATGGATTACGCAGGTATACAACGGCGATTTCAGTGTCAAAATCGGCAAATTGCCGTCATGATATTCTTAAATAAATTACCACGGCTAAAAATGCTGCAGTCACAATTTATTTTCTACGGCAATTTCGTTAAATCCTAAAGCAATTGCTGCAGGTGCCGTCGTGAATGTTGACTCCTGTAGGTTGAAAAGTTAAGGTTAGTTAGAAGATATATAGAGGGTGTCGAATTTTGTATTAAATGAGATCATTAAAGATACATTATGGGAGATTAGATAAAGAACTGGCAGTTCTCACTATAATAGTTAAAAACTAGATAATGTAAAGGGAATTTGCGGAAAATTTCAGTCAAATTGATCCACTCTGAACCAAGATTTTAGCGATTGAATTTTCGGCCTAGCTTCGATCATCATTACTAAAGTCGGTACGATAAAAAACATAGTCTTGATTATCCATCTCTTGATTAAATCATGAATGGAAGTCGAACAGCAAATCGAAGCCTAATCCAATAAACATTGCAGGCTAGCAATGACATCGAGAGTTGATTATGGTCTGAATAAGTTAATTAATGTCTAATTAATAATTTAGATTTAAACATTTCAGGCCTAAAGAAAGACCTGCAATAGGCAGATTTAACTTTGTTCAGAGTGGATCAATTTGACTGAAATTTTTAGCAAATGCCCTTTACATTATCTAGTTTTTATACACCCACATTTTCATATGGACGTATATTGTCGTCGCCCTTGTCCGCCTGGACCTCCGTCCGTTCGTCAACAATTTGTCTGTGGACGCTCTACACGTCACAATTCTTATCCGATTTTGACAAAACTTGAAATGTAGGTTTATCTCCAAAAGATCTTGGTTCCTTTCAATATTGGTATGTATCGGGTTGAAACTTCATGATTATGGCCCCTGATTGTACGAAAAATCACGTTTTTAGCTTGTGGTCATTCTAGAGGTCACAATTTTCATCTGATTTTGATGAAACTTGAAATGCATGTTTATAACGTAAAGATGTTGGTTCCTTTCGATATTTGTGCATATTGGATCGTAACTACCTGAATTATGGCCCTTGATTGTTCGAAAAAATGTGTTTATACGCCACATTGAAATGTGGTCGTATATTGTTGTCGCCCCCGCCTGTCAGTCCGGCGTCCACAAGCTCTATAGGCTAAAGTTAATATCCGATTGACTTTAAATTTTTACACAGTGTTTAAGGTCATGAGACGAAGAAGCCTATTGATTTTCAACAATTTTCGATAATTACTGCCAGAGTTATGGCCCTTGATCACTTCAAGTGTTTAAGGTCATGAGACGAAGAAGCCTATTGAATTTCAGCGATTTCCGATAATTACTGCCAGAGTTATGACCCTTTATCACTTTGAAAAATCTTGTGGACGCTCTAGAGGTCAAAGTTAATATCCAATTGACTTTAAATTTATACACAGTGTTTAAGGTCATGAGACGAAGAAGCCTATTGAATTTCAGCGATTTTCGATAATTTTTGCTAGAGTTATGGCCCTTGATCACTTTGAAAAATCTTGTGGACGCTCTAGAGGCTAAAGTTAATATCCGATTGACTTTAAATTTATACACAGTGTTTAAGGTCTTGAGATGAACAGGTATATTGATTTTCAATGAATCTTTATAACTTGAACAGCTAAATCCATGATGTTAAAAGTTTTGTATACTAAACATTTTTCTGATAATTACTTAATGAGTTGTTACTCTTAATCAGATTTTAATGTATTATAAATGTTTCATTACCAAAAAAAGTAAAAATATGCGACAACTCTTGTTGACTGCCTGGACGATATAGCTGCTGGCAACCTATAATTTTAGCTTGTGGTCCCTCTAGAGGTTACAATTATTATCCGATTTAAAAAAAACATTCCAATATGTCACCGTTACACCGTAAAAACGGCGACATAGTGTAAATAATGTATTTCAAGGTTGTAGACCCTCTAGAGGCTGCAATTTTGATCCGTTTTGATGAAACTTTAAATTTATGTTTATATCACAAAGATTTTTGGTTCGTTTCACTAATCGTGCATATCCGAATTTAACTTCCTGGATTATGGCCCCTGATTGTTTGAAAAATCACAGTTTTTGCTCGTGGACCCACTAGAAGTCACAATTTATATTTAATTTTAAAAAACGTTTAAATATGTCACCATTACACATCAATGAAGGTTGAGTTCAAATTTCGTAAAAAATCTCACTCAAACTGCCTTACAAAATGGTCGCTCCTTGTATGCAATTAGTGTAAAAGTATGTAATACCAAGGTTGTGGACACTCTGGAAGTCACAATTTTTATCCTTTTTTGATGAAACTGGAAAATGTATGATTACAATCCAAAGATCTTGGTTCCTTGAGATATTTGCCCATATCGGACCGTAACTTCCTGGATTATGGCCCCTGATTGTACGAAAAATCATGTTTTTACCTTATGGATCCTCTAGAATTCACGATTTTTATCCGATTTTAAAAAGTGTTTAAATATATCACCGTTACACCCTAATGACAGTTGAGTTCGAAAATCGGACTGAAACTGCCTGACAAAATGGCCGCTCCCTGTACGCAAATAGTATAAAGATATGTAATACTAAGGTTGTGGACTTTCTAGAAGTCACAATTTTTATCCAATTTTAATTAAACTTAAAATATATCTTTGAATCCCCAAATATGTCAGTCCATTTAGATATTCGCTCATTTCAGACCATAACTTCCTGGATTATAGCCCCTGATTGTGCAAAAAATCTTATATTTTTTTTAACTTGTTCTCTATCCATCTCTTGCAAAATGTGGGGGTATCTTGCCTGGCAACTGCTGGTTAACTATTGTAGTGAGAACTGCCAGCTCTTTATCTAATCTTTAAATCACAAGTTTATTTTCAAAGAAATTAATGAATGATTTTGATAAAAATACAATTAGTATTTATATTCTTTTAGTGCCTCATTAGTGATTGCTTATGTCATGGAGAAATTTGGAATTAGCTACAGGTAAATTGTTTTATTTATCCTTCAAACTTTCAAAATATGTGTGTTTGATTATTGTTTAACAGATCAAATCTGTCCAGGTTTATTAATGATAAGTGTGAAAAATATCTAAAATTGCCTCTTGTTTTGAAATATTTTCCTTCACCTCTGAATCTAAAAACTTTTATTGTGAGGCTAGATGTTGAGATCTTGTGTACAAATCAGTAGTCTGTCTGTCCGTTTGTCCGTCACACTTTTTGGGACACGATAACTTTAGTTCTAATTAAGTGAGAGTGATGAAATTTGGTGTATAGTTTTATTACATGTACATACATGCCAACTATTCCGATTTTGTCGGAATCATTCCGATTTTCTGAGTCTAATTCTGAATTCCGATTTCAGGGTATGAAATAAGCCTCTTATATGGTAACCTCAAAATAGGTTACGCTAATCTGCATCAAATTTGAACTGGTAACCTATAGGTTACGATGCCATATTTGTTTAGAGCCGACCCTTGAATTAGCCTAGGGGGATTTGGGGCCAATTAAAAGATTAGCCAGCTACCCCTAAGCTTATTAAATCAGCAGGGCCCATATCCCTAAGCGAATTAGTGGATTATTGTTAATCCTAAAACTCTCTACAAAATTGCAAATAACTAAATAAAAAAAAATTTTATACAAAAATGTACAGATTGTCGTGTTCTTTCCAATGATATAAAATTCAATTGTACAAACTAACAATTACCGGTATATTACTATAAATAATATTGAAAAGTCAGTTCCACTAAAATTATGACTTTTCTCTGTCATAATAAACGTGAACATGTATCTCCTAAGATTTTATTTTAAAAAAAAGAACAGTGTTCAAAGTAAATATAAATATATAACTTTTAGAAAGAAATATCGCCCCAAATGACCGTCACTTCATCGCTATGTGACATTTCTGCCTTTGTTGGATATATGGTGGGAATTGTCGTCTTCTTTGCTTCATAGCATCGAAAATAAAAATATATAGTTGAAATCTTCGGCAATGTAATATTCCTCTATGTAGCTTGTATTAAATCCTAAAAGTTTTGATTCAATTTAGCTTTCCAAACTCTAGAATTATTATCCGTAAGTTTTGTGGTATCGTCTGTCTGGAAACGTATCCAAGATATGGCGGCCGACACGCTTGATCTCGGCTGCTTCGCATCATTCATAACGTCCCCCAAAAATAACAAATAGTTGATTTCTTCGACATTATCATGTTCTACGATATGCCTGGCAGTAAATCATAAAAAATCTGATTCCATTTCACTTTCCATGTCATAAAATTATTAGCCGTGAGTGACAACGTGAAAATATTGGAATAATGCCAAAGTCATTGACACGGTGTGAATTTTCACCTCTGACCTATTACGTAAATACCGGAAGATCCATTGTTGAAAAGTATGTTTTTTATTTGATAATTTGCGAATATAACATTCCTTTTCATTGGGTGTTTTATTTTTATTACTCAATCACCATTAATTTAAGAAATAAAAACAATAGAAATCAGTTGATTGATCTGGCGCTTTCGTTCGCTAAAGAGGCAAATGAGTATGTCGTTGCCAGGTATGATGGGTCCGCGAGTTGATTTGCTACCGACAAAATGACAGGTGCGAACTTAACGATCTTTCAGGCATTTATTTATAATTGTAAAATGTTTTAATGTAGTAGTGGAAGGAATATTTTAACTGAAACCTTTAGTTTATAAATTATAGCTCGGTGGTCGAGAACGGAAGTCCGTTCGCGTGTTTCCAGGTCATGGTAACCGATGCGTAACCTGAACGACCGTTCGCGTGTTATTTCGTACCCTGGATTTTACTCTTTATAATTCCGTTTTTTAAAATTTGTTGGAAGAAATTTATTATATTTCATTCCTGACCTTTTTGATTGATAAAATCCCCCTCGTTTTATTTTTACATTGACGACTGTCTCCGCATTCTCGCTGTTTGTTGTGAATCTGATGGCGATACTGTTTATCGTAATATGAGTCCGTAAAACAACGAAAATAGTCGAGAACATGTGTCATGTTGTCCTTATTATTATTAATATAAAATGGAATAAGCTATTATGTCTGGACTAATCAAGATCAAAATGTCATGTGGTTATTTCCGTCATTTGCCGTGTCTAATTTGCATAATTCGCGGTAAAACGACGGAAATAGCCACAAACATGTCTCCAGTTTTCTCGATTATTATTAATATAAAATGGAATAAGCTAATATGTCTGGACTAATCGAGATTGAAATGTCATGTGGTTATTTCGTCATAGGCCGTGCCTCATTTGCATACTTCGCGGATATTATTTGCTATGCGGAGCCATTCTCGCATACACTCGTACAGTACACGGCGGGTTTACCGTTAGTTGCTAGTAACGTTGTTGCTTCTTCCTTAGCCATATTTCCTTCTGACTTGATAAAAAATGTTTTCAAGCTGTTTTCCATGTGTGAAAAAACCAGATTACAATTATAAATAAAACCCAGTATAAATAATTTACGACTTCTACTTCTGTGTCGGTAGTCAAGACAAATAAAATGGCTTCCAAAACAAATGTCAGACAGAAATACCGGGAAACTTACAGCAAAGAATTTCCAGGAACCATTATGTCCTTGCGTAGAGGCGACGAATTCGCATTTTGTTTAGTCTGTAGGGGTGATTGATGTGTTGCTTACGGTGGTATTACGGACATTAAAAAACATTTTGAACCTAAAAACACTTGAGCTGCTCAAACCTAAAACCCTCTTACGAAAAATCTTCACTTAACAAATTTAGGTCATGCCTACATGTAAATGCATACTTTCGTATTTAAATAGGTAAAAAAAACTCAGATGCATGGACCTAAATCACCAGCTGCTTTAAATAGGTGCTAATTTCTCAAAATTTTCTTGGGGCCCTTAGACGAGCCCCAACCCCCACGCCCTTCAAGCCTCCAGCGCTCACGGTGCTTTGCACCGATCGAACTTGGACCTGCGGTCCTCGCTCTACCCTTAATACAAGGCATTCTGATTTTCAATCTCCTCATGTTGGCATGTATGCATGAATACCTTGACTAAGTTCGATAATGAGCATTTTCTGCTCAGGGTAAGCAGAGCGATAAGCAATTTGATTGGTCAATTGAGGTAGAATGTTCAAACTTGGTGTAGGCGTTCATTAGGTGAATGCCTTGATTGAGTTCGGTAATAAACATTGTCTGCTTAGGGTAAGCAGAGATAAGCAATCTGATTGGTTGATGCTTTGGGGCATGATAACTTTGGTTATAAATAAGTTAAGAATTATGAAACTCCGAGTATAATTTCATCACATCATTACCTTGACTAAGGAACAATAAGCAATTTGATTGGTCAAGACTTTGGAACATAACAACTCTGCTTTTAATTGAGGTAGAATGTTTAAACTTGATGTAGATGTTCATTATTAACATTTCCAGCTAGAGCTAAGCAATTTCATTGGTCGATGCTTTGGGATAAGATAACTTTGAATTTGATTCTATCTGATAGAGAATGATGAAACTTAGTGTATAGTTGATAATCAGTTTGATTACTTGATACTTTGAAAAAATAAATGTGCGATTAATTAATATGTGTCATCTAATCTATTTATTTTGGGATTTCGGTGGGGGACATCAGCTTCCCTGTTGGCTTGTTTTTATGGTATTTAAAACAAAAAATGTAAGTTAGATACCAGGCCTAGACGGTTGTGGAAAGAAATTAGTCTTAACATCATTCAGACACCTACAGGCAATTACTGACAATTAGTATGGTTTTTTGAGCTCTATTTTATTCATTTTACAGAAAAGCTTTTTTGTTTGTACAGCAGAAAAGATTTTGTATTAACCCTAATGAAGGATTTGCTCAGCAATTAATTGTAAGTATGATTGTATATTTTCATCACCCCTGTCCATCCATCGTCGACAATTTATTGTGAGCACTCGACAGTCTACATTTATCATCCCATCATTTAAACCTTGTTTACATTTGACATTGTTTTTAAAAATTGTTTAAATTTGACATTGTTTTTAAAAATTGTTTACATTTGATATTGTTTTTAAAAATTGTTTACATTTGACATTGTTGTGATTTCAGCCATTTCTGATAATAGCTCCCAGAGTTATTTTGATCACATTATAGAATATTTTGAATGTCTTTGGACTAAAGTTATTATCCGCTCTGTTTGAAAGTTAGGCATTATTCAGATTAGTGAAATGCAGAAGTCTACTGACTTTCTAAGTAATAATTACTTCTACTGTGGACTTTGTTAATTTTTGCAGAATCTTTTGAACACTCAAGCAACAAAACTTGTCAGCTCTGATGCATTGTTCAAATTATCGAAACAAAGAAGCCTATCAGATTTCAACAATATGTGTTAATTACGTCTAAAGTAGTTACCCTTGCTTACTTTGTAGAATCTTGTGATCTTTCTAGCAACTAAAGTTGGCACCCAGTGTGCTTTATATGGATGATCTTTGTTTTGATTATTGTGATGAATTTATAACTATTTTTGATAATTACAGTACAAACATTGGTCTTTATTATGTCAATGGGCCAATGATATCGTGCAGTATATAGATAACCTTTAAGAGCTGCTCGGATAACATAGTTGCTGTTGGGGTGTATTTCATTGGCTTAATTACCGAAAGATTTACAATGCCTTAACCTTAGTGCCTGCTCGAACAACTTAGTTGCTGTGGACATGTGTTTCGTTTCCTGGCTGGATACCATAATTTATATTACAAAATAGGGTGTGCATCTTATTTCGATCACAATATAGTGATAGAGTAAAATCTCCTTCATAATCATTCAAATTATTTCGTTCTCTTTTGAAGACTGTTTCATCTGAAGCTCACTTTTTATTGTCAAAAAAAAAATACCTTAAATGGGTTTGTCCGTCTGTTGGTCCGTCCGTCTGTCTGTCTGTCTGTCCGTCACACTTTTTGGGGCACAATAACTCTCTTTCTAATTGAGCTAGAATGTTCAAACTTGGTGTAGGTGTTTATTAGGTCAATGCCTTGATGGAGTTCGAAGATGAGCATTTTCGGCTTAGGGTAAGTGATAAGCAATTTGATTGGTTGATGCTTTAGGACACAATAACTTTAGTTCTAATTAAGTGAGAGTGATGAAACTTGGTGTATAGTTTCATTACATCAATACCCCGACTAAGTTCGATAATGAGCATTTTCTGCTCAGGGTAAGCAGAGCGATAAGCAATTTGATTGGGCGAGACTTTGGAAGACAATAACTCACCTTCTAATTGAGCTAGAATGTTCAAACTTGGTGTAGGTGTTTATTAGGTCAATGCCTTGATGGAGTTTGAAGATGAGCAGTTTCTGCTGAGGGTAAGCAGAGATAAGCAATTTGATTGGTTGATGCTTTGGGACACGATAACTTAGTTCTAATAAAGTGAGAGTGATGAAACTTGGTGTATAGTTTTATTACATCAATACCTTGACTAAGTTCGACAATGAGCATTTTCTGCTCAGGGTAAGCAGAGCGATAAACAATTTCATTGGTTGAGACTTTGGAACACAATAACTCTCATTCTAATTGAGTTCGAATGTTCACACTTGGCATAGGTGTCAATTAGGTGAATGCCTTGATGGAGTTCGAAGATGAGAATTTTCTGCTTATGGTAAGCAGAGATAAGCAGTTTGATTGGTTGATGCTTTGGAACACGATAACTTTAGTTCTAATTAAGTGAGAGTGAGGACACTTGGTGTATAGCTTTATTACATCAATACCTTGACTAAGTTCGATAATGAACATTTTTTGCTGAGGGTAAGCAATTTGATTGGTCGAGACTTTGGAACACAATAACTCTCCTTCTAATTGAGGTAGAATGTTCAAACTTGGCGTAGGTGTCTATTAGGTGAATGTTTAAACTTGATGTAGATCTTCATTAGGTGAATGTCTTGACTGAGTTCAATGATTAACATTTCGAGCTGAAGCTAATCAAAGCTAATCGATTTCATTTGTCGATGGTTTGGGACAAGATAATCTTGATTCTATCTGATAGAGATTGATGATACTTAGTGATTAAAATAAATGTGCGATTAATTAATATGTGTCATCTATTTATTTTGGGGTTTCGGCGGGGAACATCAGCCTCACTGTTGGCTTGTTAGAATGGCATTAAAGGCTTGACTAACGTAATACAAAATATTAATTGACTACCCTGACTCTTTCATTTTTATATGCTCACATTTTCAAGTGGATGTATTATGCCGTCGCCTCTGGCCCCTGATTGTACAAAAAATCATGTTTTTAACTGGTGGACACTCTAGAGGTCACAATTTTCATCTGATTTTGATGAAACTTGAAATTCTTGTTTACAACCCAAAGATCTTGGTTCCTTTTGATATTCACGCATATTGGATCATATTCATAACTTTCTGAATTATGGGCTCCTGATTGTACAAATAATCGCGTTTTTAGCTTGTGATCCCTCTAGAGGTCACAATTATTATTATACGATTTAAAATAACGTTCAAATATATCACCGACATAATGTCGGTTGAGTTTGAATTTCGTGAAAATCAGACTGAAACTGCCAGACAAAATGGCCCTTTGTACGCAAAAAGTGTAAACATATGGTGTATCAAGGTTGTGGACCCTCTAGAGGTCACAATTTTTATCTGATTTTGATGGAACTTGAAATGTATGTTTTTAATCCAAAGATTGTGGTTCATTTTTGATATTTGCGCATATCAGACAATAACGCCCTGGATTATGGCCCCTGATTGTATGAAAAATCACGCTTTTAGCTTGTGGGCCAGCCAGAGGTCACAATTTTTATCCAATTTTAAAAAACATTTAGATTTATCACCGTTACACCCTAATGACGGTTGAGTTCCAATTTCGTGACAACCGTACCAAAACCACCTGACAAAATGGCAGCTTCTTGTACCCTCTAGAAGTCAAAATTGTGATCAGATTTTGATGAAACTTGAAATATATACTTGTGTTCAAAAGATCTTGGTTGCTTTAGCTATTTGCGCATATGAGACCTTCACTTCGTGGATTATGGCCCTTGATTGTACGAAAAATCGTGTTTTTTAGCTTGTGGATTCTTTAGAGGTCACAATTTTTTTCCCGATGTTAAAAAATGTTTAAATATGACCATTCCACCATAATGAGAAGACTGAATTTGAATTTCAGGAAAATCGAAACGAAAATCTACGACAAAATGGCTGGTGTCTGTATGCAAATTATGTAAAAGTTATCACAACTTTTATCCGATTTTCATTAAACTTAAAATATATGTTTATGTCCCAATAATCTCAATCCCTTTTGATATTTGCACATTTCAGACCATATCTTTCTGGATTATGGCCCCTGATTGTACGAAAAATCGCTTTTGTTTTTAGCTTGTTCTTTATCCATCTTTTGCAAAATGTGGGCGTATCTTGCCAGTGTGTTTGGTGAAGAAATGTAGGATCCCTATGAGATCATGTACAATATTTTATTCACCAAGGAGCTGTGTTATTCTAATTCATCAATTTGTGTACATAAACAATCTAGATTAGATAATAAGACTATATATTGTAATACGATGACAGCCAAGTCTATTTCATTACACTAGTGATTAATTTGTTTCTTTAAAGGTTTATTTGTTCAATAGTCAAGATCCTAAATACATAGGCATTCATGCAAAAATATATTCAGATTAACAAGAAAACTATATTTGTTCGCAAAGACAACATATATTTCTTGTAAGATACTTCATTTTAAACAGCTTAATACAATATTAATGCAGGTGCAATTATCCCTTTAATTCTAATGGGGGCTGGGGGAATGGTCTAATGTAAAAGATGTCATTGAGTCAGTGAAGTGTTGTAACATGCTATCTCTAATTTCTATTCATGTAATTTCTAACTTCTAATCATGTAATTTCTAAATTAAGATAATGTATAATCCAACTTCTTTATTTGTTCAGTGTAAATTTTAATTCTGTTTCATCTTATTTCTATTATTTAGACGAAAAACGTCTTCTTCGTTGATGCTTAACAGGTTTAGCATGAACATAAACGAATTTAGAGAGAGAGAGAGGAAAGAGAGAGAGAGAGAGAGAGAGAGAGAGTCATTTGGGGACTAACATATGGTTCAATTTTATTTCAGTAATTCGATTGCACCTATTATTTGTTCAGTGTAAATTTTAATTCTGTATCATGTTATTTCTATTATTAAGATGAAAAATGTCTACTGATACTTCTACCTAGCAACCATCATTATGACCTCAACAACTCGCTCTTCATCAGGTTGAATGGTTTGGCCGAGTGTTAAAATTGAAAACAACATCAAACGGGATATGGTTTGCAAATACTGTTTCAAATATAAGCTAAACAGCATTTGTTCGTTCATTTTTTTTTTAAAACAAGTGCACCGTGGCGCCACTGTCCAGGCTAAATTTCTCCCATAGCACAATGTATGGTGTAAGTCCGTCTTCATTGGTGTAGAAAAAAAGGACAATAAACCCCATTTCATTTTGGTTTAATTTCGTCAAGAACACCACTATCTATGAAATTCCGTATTGCTTTATGCAACTGGAATAAAATATTGTTGGAAAAAAACTACCATAAAGTTAGTTAGATTGGTATAATGAAGGAATCGGAAATAAAAACTTTGTCGCTATCCACATGAACAGATTAACCAGGTCTCCTTTAATTTAAAGGCTGTTTCATCCCCACGTGGGATTTCTAAATTTATATCATTGAACCGTTTCAAGAAAAAGTTTATCATTATAAAGTGACATTTTTGTTAGAGCAGTAATAGAATACGGATCAACAGTATATAAATATTAATATTGGCGTAACTGTAAAAAAATCAAATAAAATTCACCAAATCCTTCACTTGTCTTCAAAAAATGAAAAAATGTTGTTTTGCTTATATTTGAAATAGTATTTGACAACCATATCATGTTCGGTGTTTTTTTCAATCTCAGCATCGAATCCCCGGTTGTACGTGACAAGGAGTAGGGTCGCCTGTGCAACCTCGTGGGTTTTCTGCGAGTTCTCCGGTTTCCTCCCACCGTTTGACCCCTACCTGCAATCGAATTATTGAAATAAAATTGAACCATATGTTAGTCCCGAAATGACCTAGTTTATGTATAGTGGTGTTAAACCCCATTTCTCTTCTCTCAAGATCCAATGAAGAAGACATTTTTCGTCTAAATAATAGAAATAAGATGAAATAGAATTAAAATTTACACTGAAGAAATAAAGAAGTTACAAGTTACATCAATAGAAGTTAGAAATTAGACGATAGCACATTATATTTTTGTATCTTATATACCCGGCCCTGCCCTAGTGTTGTGGTTTTGATAATGTGTACACATTGGAGGACATGTAAAAGAACCCATGACAGTCAGTATTCAAAATAAGAGTAGGCCATAGCAAAATTTCCTCATGGCACATTGTATGATGTATGCCGTCTTTGTTTGCCCTGTGTAGCACTATCGTCATTGCGACATTGTTTTTAAATTTATAGACAAGGAATAGAGAAATAAGATGACTTTATATTTCATTAATTAATATCTTTGGCAACTTAGTAATTTCAAACATATTCACATATGTAGTGTGTACTAAATCAACTTATGGTATAAATGACATATTGTTATATAAAAAAGAGCTATCTAGCCAAAACAGGTGTCAATAATTTACCACCAGATTACATGTGAGTGGAATTATTCTAATTGCATCATTTGGCTTAATTAACCAATCATATTGTTAATTGCACAGGTTCAGGGCCATGAACAGGCTTTCTGTGCATGATATACTGAGTGCTATATAAGATATCTATAGTAAACTTTTAAGTCAGACTTCCATTAGATTCCAGAGAGGTTCCATCTGAGTTCCTAGACAGCCGCGAGGCTCGCTAGGGTGGAGAAATAGTTTTAGCTAGTATTGTAATTTGTGCTATGCTTGTATACCTGTATTCAGCTATATATATATATATATATATATAAAATGTAGAAGCAAACTGTTGCATTGTTATTCCTGGTAAGACAAACGTCTTAAGAAACTGTAAGAAGTAAATACACAACGTGAAGCAGACGTAAAGACAGCTAGAGACAAATTCTAGACGATCACAAGGCTACAGAAATATGTAGTAAGAAAAGATACATGGGTCGTACGTAAGAGGTGGCGACCAGTTTCCGACAACACCCGCTCTCCACGTCTGACAAAAGACCCATGGTGCTACACCTGTCGGTGCATTTCATTTCATCCAATGCTAGTATGTGGCAGAACACCCTAGCCAAATGATTCGGCCGAATCTTTAAGCCGAAAGAATCGGCGTCGAAATTCGCCTACTGTGTCCACTGTCATTCGGTGGAATGATTCGCCCGGATCAAACATGTTTGATATATTTTTGATATATTTGGCCGAATTATATTTGCCTAGTGTGTCCACCCATTCGGCCGAATAAAATTTGGCTAATGTGTCCACCGCTAAACTTCAAGGGTTTTCTCCATGTTCTTCAGCTGAAGACTTCAGCTAAAGCACCCTTATGCACAAACTACTTTTGAAAGGCCTTCAGGTAGCTGTATTGTGTGAATTTGATTTCTCTCTCTCTCTTCAGATTAAAAACTTTACTAACATACTATTTCTTTTTTACAGGAATATGAACCAATTTATAGAGCTCGACTCAGTTTGCAAAATGGACAGATATCATCCCAAATGGGTGAGTATGGGAATGGAAGAATGGAACCACAAATCAGTTTGATGCTTTTAAATTTATTTTCATTCCAAGCATATGGGGCCCAGTCCTTGAAATTGCTCTGGACTTAATAACTTTTCGATGCAAAAATGGTCGTAAGACAGCTAATTTAACTCACTGACTTTTTATATGCATATGTTCTTGTATATTGGTGTCATCCATGTTCGGCAAACATATTAGAGAAAACAAGTTTTTGATTAAAATTTTTATGAACTTGCAGCTGTGGATGAATCTTGTTAGGATAAAATCTATCGAAAATCAGTGAAGTCTTAAATTCATGTTCCATATTCTCTTTTGACAGGTTTATTGAAAAGAAAAACTAGAGATGATGAAGAAGAAGAGAGAAGTTGTGATCAATCTTTATTATCATATCCTAGGATGTTCCCGACCTGAAAATATGATATATTATTATTATTATAAAAATAATTTATTTTTATACAATGTTGACGGTGCATGAGACTTGGATTGTAGTACACATTTTTCTGATATGAGACGTGGCGTGTTTTAAAAATATTTACTGGTACTGGTAAAGCACAAATATTACAAATAGGCGTCAAAGAGTTATGGAAGGGCTTTGAGGTGAATTATTGAATGTGTTAAGATAATTCAGATGTTAATAATATTATTTGACACATGATCAACTAATTATAATTGACCAGTTAAATGACAGTTTATTAGTTGATTTTTGTTTTCATTGAATATCCAAGTAACCAAAGGTACTATACTTTGTTGTCTCATTTACATAATGTATAAACATTATTTCTGTTAAAACGCTATTTTCTTTTTAGCATTGTTATCAACTTTAAATTGAATGTAAATATCGATTGCTTGATTTGTATTTTCTACTTTGATCTTCTACCAATGAAATACACCTTTACTCACATAATGGTTTCTTTTATTATCCCGCGCCGAACGGAGTTAGGGAGGGATATTGAAATGGGGTCCGTCCGTCCGTTTTCGTTTCCGGAGCATATCTCATAAACCGTTCAAGATATCTTTCTGAAACTTTGCACACATATCAACCTATTACAGTAGTTGTGCCTTTTGCTATTTAGGAATTTCTGGGATTTATATTTTTTTGTGTTTCCATGGAAACAAATTTGACTTAGTTTTTAGTGTATAATTTTGTTTCCGGAGCATATCTCATAAACCGTTCAAGATATCTTTCTGAAACTTTGCACACACATCAACCTATTACAGTAGTTGTGCCTTTTGCTATTTAGGAATTTCTGAGATTTATATTTTTTGTGTTTCCATGGAAACAAATTTGACTTAGTTTATGGTGTATAATTTTGTTTCTGGAGCATATCTCATAAATCGTTCAAGATATCTTCATGGTACTTATTTTGAATTTCTCAGATTTGATAATTTTATGTGTTTTTGTCTGTTCACGATACCTTTAAAATAATTTTACCCATTATTTTATTTTCTGAAATCCAGCCTTCCATCCTGATTTTGTTTCTGGAGCATATTTTATTATCTGTTCAAGAAATCTTTTTGAAACTTTGTACAAACATTAACCTATTATAGTATTTTATTTTCTGATGTATAAGTTTATTGTTTAACATACAGCAGCTAATTGAGGTAGGCAAAGGTTGTTGTGCAAACCTTACAGGGAGTAGCGATGTCTAATTTTTAAAACCAGAGCTTAATGTCATAAATTATCTCAAATCTTCTAGTAAATAGCAATCAGTCATTTGTTTTCAGAAATAGAGAGCAATATCTACTAAACAGGGCCACAATATTAGGACCAGTGACACTGTTTGCGAAATCTGATATTTATATTGATTACCAATAGCATAAACAAGTTATATTTCCTTATTTCTTCCAAACAAGTGCAAGGGCGCGGGATATTGATGACTAGTCATCTTGTTGAAGTTTTATTTCTGTTTCAGTCTCCTCTCCATTTTGAATGCCCACATTATATACCGATATATAATATTGCCGTTACCTCAAGATCTGTCCACAATTCTTATTTAACACCATCAGACTACAAATACACTCGGCAAACCTCTGCAGATTTCGGTACCCTACATCTAACCTCCGCTGATATGTAGCTACACCCATACAATTGTGATGCGGCTATCGGTTTCGAAGATTGTGTAGAGTTTTCATTGCAATGTTGTCCTTTGTTTAAAGAACATCGGATTAACTTGAAAGAAAAACAACTTCAGACGTTGAAAGCTTTGTATGATAAAACACTCTTTATGGGTGCCGCCATTTTTAATCCGGAATTCGTTATACAGCTGAGGTTAGATGTAGGGTACCGGAGTCTGCCGAGGTTTGCTGAGTGACTACAACTACCGTCTGACATTACTGAAATTTTTGTAGGTTGTCTGCTTGTGCTATACAAAGATCCTATTTATCTCCAATCTTAACGTTCCTTTGAAACAGAACTTTGTAATCACTCTAGCGGTCGCCATTATCATCCGATGTTTTATAAATTTATATAGTTGTTCTAGCTAGATTAGAAAATCTTGAGCAATTCTTGACGTTAACTTTCAGAGTTATGCCCCTTGGTTTACGAAATTTGTTAACATTTTTGAAGCTGCAAATATCATCTATCACTCTGAATGTATACAATAATAAAAACAGTAATTTTGTATGTTTTCCATTTTGGTTTTGACAAAATGTTGATGAATATTGAAAACCATTTATTTAAAACACCCACTGTACATAGCCCCGACTCTTGGATATTTGGTGATTTTTTATACGTCCATGTGGACGTTACTGTGGTCGCCCCTTTCCGTCCAGACGTCCACAATTTGTTTGTGGACACACTACAGGTCACAATTTTTATTCGATTTTGACCAAACTTAAAATATAGGTCTATCTCCCAATGATCTCGGTTCCTTTCGATATTGGCATATATCGGACCATAACTTCATGGATTATGGCCCCTGGTTGTACGGAAAATCACGTTTTTAGCTTGTTGTCCCTCTAGAGGTCACAATTATTAACCGATTTAAAAAATCGTTTGAATATATCACCGTTACACTCTAATAATGGGAGAGTTTGAATCTTGTGAAAATCAGACCAAAATGGCTGCCCCTCGTAGGCAAATTGTGTAAATATATGGTATATCAAAGTTGTGGATCCTCTAAGAGGCTACAATTTTGATTTGATTTTGATGAAACTTGAAATACATATGTATTACTCAAAGATCTTGGTTCCTTTCAATATTCACGCATATCAGATCATAACTTCCTGAATTATGGCCCTTGATTATACGAAAAATCGCGTATTTAACTTGTGGTCCCACTAGAGGTCACAGTTTTTATCCGATTTAAAAAAAAACGTTTGAATATATCACCGTTACACCCTAATGAATTTCGTGAAAATCGGACCAAAACTGCCGGACAAAATGGTCACCCCTCGTACGCAAATAGTGTATATGGTATATCAAGGTTGTGGACCCTCTAGAGGCCACAATTTTCACCCGATTTTGATTAAACTTGAAATACATGTTTATAACCCAAATATCGAGGTTCCTTCCGATATTCGCGCATATCGGATCGTAACTTCCTGAATTATGGCCCTTGATTGTACGAAAAATCGTTTTTTGTTAAGCTTGATCTCTATCCATCTTTTTCAAAATGAGGCCGTATCCTGCCTGGCAGCCGCTGGTTTATTATTAATCACTTACTAAATATATCCATACCATCGATAAATACAAGGGCTAACTGAAAAGTTCTAAGCCTGAAAAGGAAAGATCAGTTGGGTTGAAACAAACTTTTGCCACCACCAAGTACAATCATTGAATTCATCATCGACGTAAGAACTGCAACTGTGGTGTCTTCGTACCAGCTTGTGAACCTACCCATCGAAATCACCAGAAATGGACAAAGATTTTAGTGCTTAGCCAATCAAAATTGAGTTATCTACTAAAATTTGGATTTTATCTTAAGTTAAAATTTCGTGAATCAGGGCCCTCATGGATGCTTGCCAGGAAGAAATTTTCTTCACCCTAAAAAAAAAGTCGTTCACAGATAACATGACGTCATCATTACTAGGATAATTAATTATATAGAAGAATCTGTTTCAAAACGGCGCAGAATGTCACTAGACGTCAGGTATCTGACACCTTTCTGATCCGCAGACCAGGGCTTTGGAAACTTTTTTATTCCGAACTCATTGGTAATAATGTGCTCAACCCTCTCATGAGAGATGCCCACAACACCGGCAATATGGCGCGTATTCAATCCTCGATCAGCAATCACCATGTCATTGCATCCAGGGGCTAAGTGAGAGGGACGCAATGACAAGTTGTGCGTCATGGTTTTGAGTTTTTGCACCCCCTTTAGTTTTTACCCCCCCCCCCCCCCGCAAATGGCAAAAAATCAATTAGTTTTAATACGGTTTTCAACATCAAAATCATAATGCCAAACATACCGTGGGTCAGATATGCTACATATCGACTCTCAGCATGTTCCACACAACCCAATACTACACGTCGGTACTGGGAGCCGTTGATGGCCTTTCAGGACGTGGGTCATCGTCAAAACTCTCTCTCTGTCTCTCTGCCACGCTTATAAATTCGACAGCTCACTTCTTTTCTGTGGAAAAGGAAGGGGCGTCATCCCCTTAATGGGGCAAAATAAAGTATAGCTGAGTGCATGCCCAACATTAAACCTCGTCCAGACGATCATAAATTTGTTCAAACATAATACGCCATCACAGTGTGCTTTAAGGGAAAGTTTGCCCTTACAGTGGCACTACGACCTACTCTTATTTAGAATTCCAACTGTCAAGGGTTCTTTTACGTGCAGGTCAATGTGTACACGGTACCTGTTTTTGACCGATCCGAACGACTAGACACTGCTCCTTGTCAACCCCTCCGTCCTGCCCCTCTGACAAGGAGAAACCGCGCTGGAACTTCTCGGCCAATACCAGCAACGAACGCGAGACCTCCTGGTTAGCGAGCCAGCGTCTTGCTCACCGAGAAACCGCGACACCCAATTTTGTTCAAAACATTTTGATTGATGGTGCTCGTGATCCGTCGACAAATATATGATAGCCTGGACTGCTTGGAAAAACTTCAAACTTTTATGATGTTGTTAGGAATTTTTTAGCTGCAGTTTTCATCTTTCAAATGTTCCCAACGTGTAAAAAACGGAAAACGTAAAACACTGAGAGGGACATCAATGATTTGCGATTAAAAAGATGCAAATTTCGGTAAGGGTTCTTCCGTCTGATCAAAAAAATGTCACAAACATCATAGACGGGGGCGTGCCATGCTCCCTCTACGCCCACCAGCAGCAATAATATCTAGGGGTCGAAAGTGTAAACGGAAAGATACCTTCGCAAATGTGTTAGAAATTTGCCATCTAGAAACTTGATAGGGTTTTCTTTATGTTTGGTTTCATAAATAAGCTTAAACAGTCAACACGCGTTCCCCTAGAAATTATAGAGTCGGCAACCCAATTAAAATGTTACAATGAAACACGAGCAGATCAGGATCAGGCTAATCTTTGGTTCACAATAACTATTGTAACTGTATGTTTTTTTAATGATGCGATTCTTGAAAGCCATAATTAATATCAATTATTTGGTTTCACATAGATTAGCTAATTGTCTTTCAAATCGAACTAACTAATTGATTGATTGAGTAAGTGTTAATTAGTACTAATCTTTGAGAAATCCACTTTGTTTAAGCTTCCCGTATCTAAAATAAAAAAATAGGGCCCTAAAAATAATCAAATTAAAGAGTTCCAATTTTAAAAAGAAACAACATTTATTCCTATGTATTTGATTTGTATCAGATATTAGGTTACATAATTTAGTTCGTTGATGTTGTAAATATTATTAGCATTTAGCAATAGTCTAAAAGTAATTCCACGGTTTTAAAGGGTGGTTCATGTTAAATCCTATTTCATTTCACTTAATTGTAGCCTACATCAACTATTTGAGTTTACACGATGAAAGCAGCAATTTTATTTCTGTAAGCATTGCCCGACATGACTCCCTCTTGTGCAAGACGGGGGACAGCGTCTAGCCATTCGGATTGGACGAAAAATCATGGTTCCGCGTACGTAGGAATACATTATGTCCGTTACATATAACCTAGGCGTGCAATTAAACAAATCATGACACTTGGAATTGAATTGCTGTGCATGCTAAGTTTTCTAAGTCAAGTACTGTTACTGTTTATTTATAGTCGATAAAACGGGTATAATTTCCCTCTTTGCACACTGTATAGCGTATGCCCTTCTTCATTATCCCGGTTGGTGCACAACAGATGGACGTTAACGATAAACCCTATTTCATTCTTTTCATGTGATGAAATCAACCTTCGTTTTCATAAAACGAAGTAAACCGAATGAGTATCTCGGTTGTAACAACATTATCCAGTCTTAAAAACAAACAGTAAATTTAAGTACTTATTCATGAAACTGGCAAACCGAGGGAAGGTGTTTTCCCGCCAGGATATCGATCAACTGCGCACGACGAGGTCATTAATTTACAAGGTCTAGCGAAAGACGTAATGGCAGACGGGGAAATGAATGTTGTTCATGTCAATGGGCAGAATGGTGACAGTGGGGTCAAAAAAATGAAATTATCAGAGCCGAATAAAGTGACTGTTGTGCTTGGTACACAGTGGGGTGATGAAGGAAAGGGAAAAGTTGTTGATATGTTGGCGACGAATGCTGATGTTGTGTGTCGATGTCAGGTAGGTAACTGTTAAAAACTACATATTCTTCTATTTCTTCTACTTCTCTAGTCTCTCGTTGAGCAATGAGTGAGACTAGTCCACTTATTTTAATTTAAAGTGTATAACTGTAATAGGATGCTTGATTATTTATAGTAATTTGAACTTATACACAGAAGAACTAGCCTTATTAAGATCTAACTTCTCTCTAGAGATGATGATGACATGAGTGAAAATAATTGATAATCTAGGATAGGCCTAGTAGATTTAGATTTAGAATAAAATCGTCAGTGACAGATGATGAAATAATATTCTTGATACATCTCTAGTTTAATTTGGCATACCACACTAGATTTAGGAAGTCTATCAATGTTTCACGGGCCCAGGATCTAGATAAGTTTATGCTATTATGATTAATTAAACTTACAGAGGCCAATGTAGTGGCACAACTGTCGCCTACCTCCAAATATTCGGGTTTAAATTAATGAAGTGTTGTTTTTGTCTGACGTTCACCGCCATCGAAATCCATTCATAGTTACAGTGCTTTAGATTGCCCTTTTGATTGGCTGTTATAAAAGCCTTATATTTAGCCCCGCCTTCATGATGACAGTGTATCGTTTAAAAAGATGGCGATCTTAGTAACGGCTTAACGCCTCGGTTTTAAAAACGACGATTTGTTCCCGTTTCAGGTAGGATTATATGCTTAATTGTAGTTGGGTCTGGCAGAAATATTATAAATAACAATAATCAATCGTTGTTTTTATTAAAAATATTGTCAATTTTGTTTACAAATGCCGGGTGCGAATCGCTCCCGCATGTGCTACGTTGAAGGTAATGGCCTCATGTCTTATCTCGAAACACAGAGGGTTGAGAGATTATGGTTTGTTATCTAGGTTAGTTCTTGAAAATAGTGTTGAATTATAATAATAATTATTATAAATTGTGTCAGAAGATGTGGTGAAAAATAAAGAATCACAGTGAAAAATAGAAGGTAAGGATTCCAAAATAGCCTTAACAGTGGTGGTGAAGAGCTGTCTTTTCATGATATTGCAGCTTAATATTAATAGGGATGGTTAGGAACGGCCAGCGGATAGCGTCCGATCAGAGACTGTTCCTCTAATCTAAAGGAACTAGATCTAGGCCAACTACTGATCAGAGAGTGGATCTTGTGATAGGCCGAAAACCCAAAATGTGTTTTGGTCATATTTTATTATTTTAATGTAGTGTTTCACTCAAGTTAATGACTTAAATATGTTGATCAGTCAACCGGCCGGCCCTTAAGTAATTTATTTAGGTTGTTGTGAGTAAAACTACCAGGGCATGTCTAATGCTATTCTGCATTTTAAGTACTGTAAATCATTTAAAGGGGTATCATAAGTAAGATTAGATAAAGCCGCCAGTTCTCGCTATAATAGTTAAAAATATATATAATGAAAACAGCTGACAATTCCAGTCAAATTGCTTCACTCTGAACCAAGATATATTCAATTTTAGACTAGTCTCGATCGTCATTATTACCATTGGTATCAAAATAAACAGAGTCATGATTATCCATTTTCACTTAAAGTCATCCATCATAAAAGGTATTCAAATCCACTAAATATTGCAGGCTAACATTGGCATCAAGAGTTGATTATGGTCTTGATAAGCTAATTAATTAATGTCTAATTAATAATTTAGATAACATTTCGGGCCTAAACAAAGACTTGCAATAGGCAGATTTAGCTGTTTGTCTTAATATGTGGGCCGAGATATAAGACCACTCGGGCCAAGTTTAACGTGGCTGAGATAAAGACCACTTAACAATTTATAAATAATTTATTACATCAACAATGGTCTTCTATTTTGGGATGAGTTGTCATATATTGGGATAAGTGGTCTTGGGATGAGTTGTCTGGATACCTTTTTTAAAGTGCGTGATTTCCATTTTTTGGAAAATATCAAGTGTATCATAGCTTAATCCACGTTTATATGTACTCAGATTGATTATTTAATATTTAATTCAGAAGCGCTAGATAATCTCCTGGCTTGTAATCAACTGGATTAAAAACAGGTCCATTAATTAGATTCAAGAACATGTTTAGTTTAAGATGATATCATATCATGACATCATCTGACAATAAACTTGTAATTGGCCATCAGCCAACCATAGATTACAAACTGCTGGACAGTTTAACTAGGAAGAAATGTAAACATATTCTGTCAAGGGCAGCATACATCGATGGAATTTCATTCCATCATATTTTTGTAAATACGGTACTGAACAGAATTGAACCATTTTAATGTTCCTATTAGAAATTCCGACATCGTACAAGATTGATACAATATGCCTGATTAGACAGCATGTCTGAATACTCAATTGCCTTAATTATACCCGAAGTATTATTGTACCTTCGAATACCGGAAGTTTTATTATAATGCACCTCTAATACACAGAACTTAAAATATGATAGCGCTTTCTGTACATTCAAAATTTTTTTACATTATATCAAACAATTGCATAACAAAACACAATAACATAACAATACATGTACATAACAATTTATTTTGAATATATATAATCATCTGAAGTTGACTAAATAGTACTTGTCATCCAAGCATTACGATTGACTGACAGGTTGTGTCTGTCAACACCCTTAAACCATTATCTTTTCGCTTTAAAATGTCAAATACTGTAGTACGGCCAATTGAATACTTAATGGCTAATTCCTTCTGTGTAGGTCGTGGAACTTTCTCAAAATCTGCTATAATTTGCTGCTTGACATCCATACGGGCACACTTTGCAGGGCGATTACACATTATGAACACAATTTATTATTATAATGATAGTGATTCTTCATCTCAGCATTTTATATATATATGTCTCTGTATTTGACGTGAGAAACTCAAATCATATACCAAGAGATTCGAAAATTATCAAGGTAATCAACAAAAACTGACGCATATTTTATGCTCACAGATAATTGATTGGTGATTGCTTATCGGTTAACACCCACTGATTGAAGATCGGAATATCCAATGTTAATTGTACGCAAATCGTGGGACGGGACTGCTGATCGATGTCATAATTCGGAATATTCCGAATCCGGATTACACAAAACTTTTTGGGTTGAAGTAATAAGGAAATAAATCGAGACGTGAAAATAATGACGGATTTCAGAGAATGCAGTAGTATTCAGATGTTGAGAGTGACTAGTGCTGCAATGAATTGATGAACTGTGATGTTTTAGAAATCCATAATGCATGATACAATCAATACCCGTATCGTGATTCGTTATCCAAATAATAATTTCACAAAAATAGACTAATATTCCTTTAAATGCGTAAATAAGTCCATGAGCAAAATACCTTTTTTTACTTTCAGCGAGTGTTAAGGCGTTTTCGACACATGAAGTGGCTTATTACAGCTGTTTCGTCAAGATTAAAACATCAGTCTGGTTAAGCAAGTCGTGCTGGAAATTAAGTTGCATTCAAATTACACACTTGAATAACATGCAAAAAAACCCCCAACATACACCATATTAATATATATATATATACACATGTCAGTAATATGCCATTTGTGATATTACTGTATAGGAATGGTGATTTGTACAGTATACTGCATACATTGATCAGCACATATTTTCAATATATTATTATTGGATATTAAAATCTTTATAACATTATTTCCTTTGCTTTTCTGTAATATGACTGACCTGACAACGAGAAAGCTTTTAATTGGCTGAAATTGTTGTGGCAATACGAGCCAGCCAGCCAGCTGAAATTTTTTCATAATGAATTCACCAAATTCAAGTCGCACGATTAACAAAAGCAATATTGAGATGGAAATCCCCCGTACCAATTATAAAAGTCACAATTAAAGTATGGGAGTTTTTAGGATTTCCCATTAAGCATGACAGCAATGAAATCCGTTCAGTTGACCCAGAAAACACTACATAAAGTAAATCTTTAAAGTAGACCTTCGAATTTTCACAGTGAAAGACTTTCAAAATTTAACAGCATTTTTTAAATTTATTTGCATTTAAATATCCCCTACTTTTTTTGAAGAGTACACTACATAAAGATCTGACTGGTTGTACTGGAAGGTCATGTCGGGGGTCGTACAAGCTGCTTTTGACCTTGTGACGTAAGACATTGATTAATCAATCGGCGTTGACGTTTCTAGTGGTTTACCCACAGTTCCGTGCATTGCACGAACTCGCTGTAACAGACCATTTCATTGGCTGATCCTTCAACTCTTCCAGATCCTAGTGTAGTAAAGACAAGTAAAATGAAATTTTGAACTATAAAAAATGAAACGAAGTAGGATCTGTATTTTAATTGGATTGAAATATTACCAGACTTTGTCTGTGGGTCTCCGAGTAATAGCCTTTTTAGAATAGAACTGTGGGATGGGAGACGCAAGCTTTTGGCCTTGTGTGTAGCGGTAATGGGTAAATCTGCCCATCAATTTCGTTTCAATCCTAAGGAGTCCTCGAACCCCATCTCTTCTGCGTAAGTGTAATAAAATAACATATCCTTCAGGGAGTAACATCAGTATAGATAAATTGGTTGCTGAGAGAATCTATGTTAGCACTGTGAGTGGTATGTGGTATTGTAAACTGAAGTGGATCCTCAGTGGCCGTGTGAGTAAGGCACTGGCTCACTAACCAAGAGGTCCGGGTCTGATCCTGATGCTGGCTGAAAAAGTTCCTAAGAGTATTCTTCTACAACTAGTGTGGTTTACCCATGTCAGTAATGCAGGACTGAGGGTCTGACCAACAAGCATAGTCCGGTTGTTTGGATGACACGAAAAAAACCCCAAACAAACCCTTAATATCTAGGCAAAATTTCCCACATAGCACACTGCATGGCGTATGCTCTTCTTCAGTGCTGAAAAATAGGATGTTAAACCTAATTTCATTCATTCGACATTCATTGTAAACTGAGACCCCCCAGATAAGCTTCACTGATTCTTGAATATATTGTCTAAATTATAACTAAGATTTTAATATTAATGCTTATCTGATAATATTTTACAGGGTGGAAACAATGCAGGTCATAGTGTTCATGTTGGAGATAAGGAATATGCCTTTCATTTATTACCAAGTGGCATAGTTAATGAAGAGTGTACAGCAATTATAGGTAAATTTCTGATTAAGTAATTGCTTTATCCAGTTATTGAATGCCTGCTAAGCATGATTAAGATAATTTACACACCTTGGGATGTTTTTTCCTTTGATCTCCCAAGCATGTTATGAAACGTATCAACCTGTTGTGACGTCATCAGAGGATGATATATCCCCCCTGATGACGTCACAACAGGACTACAGGCTCTGCAAAGAAAAAGGACACAAATTCTTTCTTTTAACATTTTGTTCACTTACTGTACAATGTTGTCAAACGATTCGGACGACGAACTTTGCCAGGCCCATGTTACTTAGCTTCTTACGGAATTTTGTGCGTAATATTCATCATATTATATTGTTTACTACCAAAACGAATCTAGACATCCAAAAAATAAATCTTATATACTCATATATTCCAGCGCACACAGGATTTTTTGCTCACTATCGTGTTTATTATTCCGCCACACTGACCAACTGTTAAAAAGGTTCACATATCCGAGTACATTAATCCTTGTTAAATATTTTCTGCATAAATTCTGCATTTTGTCTAGCTTTAAATAATTCTTTGTCAGAATCTCCTTTTTTCTTATTTCATCCATATTTTCTACAAACGGACTTGCACGCATCAGTTCGTCGTCCGAATCGTTTGACAACATTGCACAAAATGAATGCCATTTTGTGAACACATGGTTACTAAAATGTAATACACGTGCAACTTACGACTTGTTTTCTTAATTTTGTCATATCAGTCGCAGGGCCGATATGGGCTAAACCATTGTCTTATAGGTGAAATCAATTAGGATAGATTTAACATTGATGTCAGTGTGTAAGGCAAATATTACCCTAATGCCCTCGGTCGATATGTGAAATAACCCACGGCCTCCAGCCTTGGGTTATTTCACATATCCACTCTTGGTTACGATACTATTTATCTCTTAAGGCAGGAGAGAATAAAAAATTTTATACGCCCACATTTTCATGTGGACGTATATTGTCTTCGCCCCTGTCCGTCTGTCCACAATTTGTTTGTGGACACACTACAGGCAGAGTTTCCGATAACCGGTATTTTCCGGTTTTATACCGGTAAATTTTAATGTGTACCGGTAAATTATCTTCCCGGCGGTCCATGGGACGGGTAAACAATGATACAGAAAATCATAAACGTCAACAAAATTAACTGCAAAATTTAATATACGTCTCTGCGTAATCGTTTATCTTAGCACCATAGTTTTTGTCTGTCACCTTTTTAGTTTTTATTCATTCGACGATGATAGACAAACGACACAATGATCATGTGACAACCACAATTGAAATTTCTTTAAAATCTTTTTTTTTTTGACTATGACATAGCCTTTAATAATATCGATAACATTTATAAAACAAAGCTTCTGTCAGCATGTGTATAAAGTAAAAAATCATAATGTTAAACAGTATTTAAAACTAAAGCTAACTTCGCCGATTCATTGACCTAATTCCAGCGATGTCACGTGTCATCGGTATTCCAAGATGATACCCGAAAAATATGTTATTAATGACTGTTTCTCAGAATATTCAGTGTTCTATCAGTGGATTATATTCAATGAAGATTTAAATTGAACTAACAACTGATCTGTGAAACCATCACATCTATGATCCAATTATTATTTTAATATCTACCTGGAATTCATATGGAGCGTCAATCAAAGACGCGAGGTTCTCGAGATTCACAATACAATCCATGACGAGATCCACCTGGCTTATTTTCACAGTGTGTTCAAATTCTCACAGCATGTTTCAATGAAGGGTTTATTTATTTGAATACATTTACAAGAATGATTAGCGGTAAAATTTTGTTTTCATCAGACTGGTAAAATTACGAGTGGACCAGTATTTTTGACCTCTACCGGTACGATGTACCGGTAATTTTTTTAAGCTAGCGGAAACACTGACTACAGGTCATAATTTTTATTTAATTTTGACGAAACTTAAAATATAGGTCTATCTCCCAAAGATCTCGGTTCCTTTCGATATTGGCATATATTGGACCATAATTTCATGGATTATGGCCCCTGATTGTATGAAAATTCATTTTTTAGCTTGTGGACACTCTAGAGGTCACAATTTTCATCTGATTTTGATGAAACTTGATTGTATGAAAAATCGCGTTTTTAGCTTGTGGTCCCTCTAGAGGTCACAGTTTTTATCCGATAAATCGGATCAAAACCGCCGGACAAAATGGCCACCCCTCGTACGCAATTTGTGTATATATGGTATATCAAGGTTGTGGACCCAATGGAGGCCACAATTTGGATCTGATTTTGTTGAAACTTGAAATACATATTTATAACCAAATGATCTTGGTTCCTTTTGATATTCACACATATCAGATCGTAACTTCCAGAATTATGGCCCTTGATTGTACGAAAAATCGCTTTTTTAGCTTGTGGTCCCTCTAAACGTCTCAGTTTTTATCCGATTGAAGAAAAACGCTTGAATATTTCACCGTTACCCTTAATGACGACTAAATTCGAATTTCATGAAAATCGGACCAGAACTGCCTGAATAAATGACTGCCCTTTGTATGCAAATAGTGTAAATATATGGTATATCAAGGTTGTGCACCCTCTAGAAGTCACATTTTTGATCAAATTTTGATGAAACTTGAAATATAGCTTTATAATCCAAAGATCTTGGTTCCTTTCGATATTCGCGCCTATCGGATCATAACTGCCTGAATTATGGCCCTTGATTGTACGAAAAATCGATGTATGTTCATCCTCTGATATGAAAACAACTTTATCAATTTTTTCAGGTAATGGTGTGGTCGTACATTTACCTAATCTTTATGAAGAAATTAAGAAGAATGAAAAACATGGTTTACCGGGTTGGAAAAAAAGACTTCTGATTTCTGACAGAGCTCATTTAGGTATTTTGAAAAACAGTGTATAACAATTCTGTAACCTTCTTCTTTTAATTTGATCAAGAAAATAATTTTAGCAATAAAAATATTCTAAATCTAAAAGGAAATCCAAACAGTGAATATTGGCTGGTAAAAGTTAACCTTTTGTGTATTTTGCAAAGTAAAATGATTTCTATTCTTTTTATTTTCCCTACAATTCAGTATTTGACATGCATCAACAGGTTGATGGGTTACAAGAATCAAGTCGAGGCAAAAATTCGTAAGTAGGCAATTTCTTAATTGCAAATGGTTTCTATCCATTAATAGATTAGATAAATAATTGGGATTACTTCAAACTGGTCATAGTCAGATATAACTTGGCATTTAGGTCTTATATCACATTAGGTCACTGGGCTAGATAATATGCTGACTTGAGAGTTCAGAAGAAAATAGATTCACTTATGTCTATGTGATAGTAGGCCTAATTGTTTTGTCATCAAATCTAATAGTAAAAAAACCCATAAAAATTACATACGAAAGTTTAAAAAATTATATGTGCCATACAACTAAAAGCTAAAAATAAAAACAAAATATGGGCTTATAATATTACATTTAGCCATATAATAAATGTAATCGTAAACCTATTACCTACATGGTAATTGGGATTCTGCCAACTGATTGTATTATATGTAGATCTGAGTGCCAAACAATTAACTGTACTGTAAATTGTTATGTTATATAGTTATTATTGTTCAACATGTGCCTACCAGCTGTCATTATTCAACCAATGATCAATACGATGAATATTTATAATAAAAGAATTGAATTGTTTTTTAGAGGAAAAAATATTGTAAAAAGTTAAGCAATGTTCAGTCTATAAGGTTATATATTTTGTTCAAGGGTTGGTAAATAATTGATGTCTAACTGGTCAGTTGTTAATTAACTTTCCTGTACTGATATTATCGTAATCATCATGATTTAATAATTAATTGTGTTTTCAGTATTGGTACAACAAAAAAGGGAATTGGACCAACATATTCATCCAAGGTGATTAAATATACTACTGTATTATTTATATGTACCGGTATGGTTATAAACATATGCATCATGGTTAGATTTAAAAACTGAAACTTTAAAGGGTACTGGGGGGAGGGCGTGGGGGGATGGGTGGCCGAATGGTCTAACACTTGCTCTTTAAAATCATAAGGTCTGTCATTGAGTCAAGTGGCGTGGTTTAAATCCCACAGTCATACGTGACAAGGAGTAGGGTCGCCTGCCTGATCTTGTGGACATTATCCTGGTGCTTAAGTTTCCTCTCACTGCCTAACGTGGAAACAATTTATTGAAAACAAATTGTAGCATAATTGGTCCTGAAATTACTTAGTTTGTGTTGAGTTGACGTTAAACATCATTTTTATACGTCCACATTCCTAATGTGGACATATATTGGCGTCACCCCTGTCTGTGTGTGTGTATGTATGTATGTGTGTCTATGTGTTGCCTACAGGCCACAATTCTTAAGTGATCATCTTGAAACTTTACATACTTATTCCTTATACCCTAAGGATGATGCCTATTGTTTTTGGTGCATGCCCGACCCCCAGGGTCAGAGCCACACCCATTTTTTTAATTTCTTTGTTTGTCATCTACAGGCTGCATTTAACGTATCATCTTGAAACTATATACTTATTCTTTGTACCCCAAGGAACACCACTATCGTTGGGGTGCATGCCCAACCCCCAGGGGCAGAGCCACACTCATTTTCTTTTTATGTGTCTGTGTGTTGCTTACAGGCCACAATTGTTAAGTGATCATCTTGAAACTTTACTTACTTATTCCTTATACCCTAAGGATAATCCCTATTGTTTTTGGTGCATGCCCGACCCCCGGGGTCAGAGCACGCCTATTTCTTGTATTTGTTTATTTGTCGTCTACAGGCCGCATTTCTTAATGTATAATCTTGAAACTTTGCATACTTATTCTTTGTACCCTAAGGAACACCCCTATCGTTTGGAGTGCATGCCCAACCCCCAGGGGCAAAGCCACGCCCATTTTCTTTTGTGTGTGTCTGTGTGCTGCCTACAGACCACAATTCTTAATCGATCGTCTTGAAAAAATTTTGTATGAATTCCTTATACCCTATTCTTAAGTGATCATGTTGAAACTTAACACACTTATTCCTTATACCCTATGGATGATCCCTATTGTTTTTGGTGCATGCCCGATCCCCAGGGGCAGATCAACTTGGAATACTTATTCCTTATACCCTAAGGACGGCAACTATTGATGTTGTCATTTCAATAACAGGGTGGTACCTATTTATATTGTTCCATATCCAACCCCCAGGGGCAGAGCCACACCCATTTTTTGTAGTTATCGTCTACAGACTGCAATTCTGAATGGATCATCTTGGAACTTTGCATATTTATTCCTTATACCATAAAGATGACCTCTTATCATATTACAGCCATTTCATATTTCATTCTTCATTTTAAAAGAGAGAGAGAGAAATGGGGTTTAACGTCCACTCGACACAAACTAGGTCATTTCGGGACTAACATATGGTTTAATTTTATTTCAATAATTCGCTTGCGCATAGGGGTCTTTAGCAGTGGGAGGAAACCGGAGGACCCGGAGAAAACCCACGAGGTTGGACAGGCGGCCCTACTCCTTGTCACGTAGAACCGGGGATTCATTTTAAAAAGTACCATATCAATCAATGCTGGAATGTGGACGTATATTGCATTGTTAGCGATGTTCTCATCTCTATCTGTTGTTTACCATACAGAAAATCACATTGAGCCCCTTTCAAACTTTGAATTGAAGATTTTAACTATGAAATAGTACTATATTGTGTTGTTGATTATACCTGTTATCTATCGGTTCATTTACTGTTTGTTAAAATTTGGCAAAGTAGAAGATTTACTGTAGTGATGGTTACATTCCAGTTAGTTTCCCATCAGAAATTTATATCGTCTTTTTATTATTGAAAACAATGATTTTTTATCTTTTAATTCTTCAGGTGACAAGAAATGGTTTACGTATGTGTGATCTAGTTGGAGATTTCACCGTCTTTTCTGATAAGTAAGTCACTAACTCTATACAATATATTATGTACTGGAAGATAGTGTACCTGCAGAGGTTTTAAAATGATTGCTACCCTGTAATGGGCTGTCAACATCTTTTTCTACTATATGTTATTACAGATTCAGAAATCTGGTTGACTACCACAAGAAAATCTATCCAGATCTGAACGTTGATGTTGAGTCGGAACTACAAAGATATGAAGTAAGTCTGAAGACACGACTTTCACGAAAGCAAAAACACTTCTGTTAGACACCTACACCGCATGGGAGAAACTTAGAAACACACTGTTTGATATGAAGTATGTTAGACAAATACAAAGAGAAAACCAGATATTCTATGAATTACTGTTTGAATGGCATTTAGTAATTGAGCACATTAATTGTTATCCATATAACTTTGTGTTTATTCTATGAATTATCAGAATTAATCTTGGTGATCTACATTATGTACTGTGTCAGTAATTTGACTCGAGATTTATGTGTAATATGCAATACTTCCTTGTTGGGCTTAGAAATCTGGTAGTTCATTGTGTACTATATAAAAACTTATATTAGATGATACATAAAACAAAAAAGTATGGTTTTGGTAGAATGACATATTGTATCTCTACTTTGAATTTTAGTAAATAATTTGTCCACTTAAATTGTAAACAGAACTTGCTGTTCAATTCACATTTGAAAACTCTTGACAAAACATTACATAATTACACACTGTTATAATGATTAAAAATGTCTGAGCTCATATGTCCTAGTTATAATAGTTATATATCAGTTTTTATTTCTTGTTTCAGAAATTAAGAGAAGAAATCCAACCCTTAGTTACAGATACTATTGGTCATATGTATACGGCCATCAAAGATGGTAAAAATATTCTTATTGAAGGTGCTCAATCTGCAATATTAGATATAGATTTTGGTAAGTTTCTTTATGTGCCCATATTATCTTGCCTTGTATGTTTGGGTTTAATGACAGTGATTTCACTTATAGCACAGTAGACTTTACAAGCTTTTGTCTATGTTAAATATTTGTGTCAAATTCTGTTTTTATCCAGGAGTTTGCATATTTCTAAGACCTATTTACGAATAGAATTTTGAAAACCAAGCAAAAATTATTCCACGCTTCTTACTCAAATCTATTAAACTGGATCTATCCATGTTTAGTTGATTGTTGACATCTATATTGAGATGGATGTTTGAATATATCCAAAAAAGTGACAACTAAAACAATAGGCCTGAATCCAATATGGTTATCTTTAAAGTCCCCTATTCACTGAAATATGATGTAAATTATAATGTATTATTTATACAGGTTTGTATCCGTATGTGACATCATCAAATTGTACGATAGGTGGGGTATGTACAGGATTAGGTATACCACCTAGAAGTATAGGTAATGTGTATGGTGTAGTTAAAGCTTATTTAACACGGGTTGGTGCTGGTGGTTTCCCCACTGAACAAAGTAATGTAAGTTATTTACTAAAACACACTTTATATTTTTAACATTAATGAACAGACATGGTGAAAACTAAACGTAAAGAAAGTAAATAGTTAACAAGGTTGTTTTCCATATCCTCTAACACATTCATTTATTGTTTAGTCATAGAAGTTGATCAAATTGATGAAATATTATTGGTTTTATTTTAAGGAAATTGGTGAAGTTTTATTAAAAAGAGGTGCTGAGTATGGTGTTACTACTGGTCGTCCAAGAAGATGTGGTTGGTTAGATATGGTCATGTTACAATTTGCCAATATGATTAATGGCCTTACTGCGTAAGTTTCATACTTTAATATCGAGTTATTATGTGCATTGAATTATATGTTTGTATGTATGTATGTATTGCTTTCTTATAAAGGTCACTATCCTTTGCTATCTTATTTACTTTCGGTCCGCAGTAATACTACAGCTATTGGTAAGTGAAAGCATAAAATTAACTTGGGTAACATGATAACCTAGGAGCCATTTGATTTATAAACTTAGAAAGCAGGAATTTAACACTATAGAACGATGAATTTGTATACTTTAGATGTAGTTAGTTCATGGCTCAGTAAGTAGATATTTTATAGTCAACAACACCCATTTTGATTCTGAAATGTTGCTTAATGACTTGATAATAATTTCAGATATGCATTTCGGTTTCTTCTTGGGAGGAATTCTATATTAAAAGAATGTTTGTTGTAATTTATCCCTTGATTCTGTATTGATAATAGTCATTTCTGGAAGCTAATAAAGTTAGCATTGTGTGAATGTCATATTTTCAGATTGGCTATCACTAAATTGGACATTCTGGACACCTTTAAAGAAATAAAAATTGGTGTTGCATATCATGTGAATGGTGAAAAAATTAATACCTTCCCAGGTAAGTAGTAAATTTTGATCAATTTATACATCCTATTCAAGAAAAATCAGATAGCATGGACTGTTTGAGTCAGATTGGAGTGGCTCATTAATTTGCTTGTCAGGTATATGATGGCAGAATCAAACTATCATCCATGATGAATCCTTAAATAGTATTTCCTCATAAACACAAAGTTTTGAGAGGGATTTGAAGCAAATGTTTGATAGATTAATTAGTTTGAATATGTATTTAGTCTAAATATATCATCAAATGACACAGTTTGTATGCGGGAAGGTATCTTTAAATGATTGAGTAATGAATAGTAATAATCAGCTTAAAAACAAGTATTTGTGTTAACTCCAAGTAATACATTTGAGGTAAAATATAACTGTGTCAAATACAAATAGATGAAACACTTCCTTTTACTTGTAATGGTATGTTTTTTTATTGTTCAGCATCTGATGAAGTGTTACAGAAAGTAAAAGTTGAATATTTAACACTGCCTGGTTGGGAAACAAGTACCGAAAATGTTCGAAAATTTACAGATTTACCTCCTAATGCCCAAAGATATATTAAAACCATTGAACGTTTAATAGGAGTACCTGGTAAGTCTTGTCTTATTAGTTCTTAATAAAAAATTACTGATATGATTGACTACAAACAAATTGTTCTTGATGGCCGATAATGCAGTTTAAACAAGCTGTGTGGTTTATTCTAAAAGAAGTTAAAATAAAAGGAATCGGTATCTCTGAAAATTGCCATACCTTATATATTACACAGTAAATGATAATAAACATCGTCTGCTAAATAATAGCACTCATAGTCGTATGGTCAAGTCAAACTTCTGCTGTCGTCTATACAGCATTCCAATAGAAATACTATTCGACATTTCTAAATATATATATAGCTTGTATAAATTTTGTTTAAAATAAAAACATAACCCCTATTCAAAATCTAATCATAAACGCTTGAAAATTCCATCAAAATATAATCTATTTCTTCCGGAATTATTCTCATTGGAAATTTTTATGTGCCATCTCTCGTAATTTCTCACGTCTCGCGAGAGTTCCACTTTTCATTTCAGTTAAATTAACCAATGTTGCATAGGCGCCATCTATTTTTAGCAACATATTCATCAGAATTTTATTACCATGTGCGATAACATTATATTAATCGAATACACCAAATAAATGTTCACAATGACAGCATGGCGGCGATCAGAATATGAGTCTTTCACACTCTTTTGAAAAAAAAAACCAAATACATGTCCATGATTTACAAATATAGAGAGTGATTTTCAATTTTAAGGCGAGGGAGAAAAACCTCCCCTCCCTCGCATCAAAAAACAGTGACTGGAGTTATGGCCCTTGATCACTTCAAAAAATCTTGTGGACGCTCTAAAGGCCAATGTTAATATTCAATTGACTATAAATTTATACACAGTGTTTAAGGTCATGAGATGAAAAAGCCTATTGATTTTCAACGATTTCTGATAATTACTGCCAGACTTTAAATTTATACGCAGTGTTTGAGGTCATGAGATGAAGAATCCAATTGATTTTCAACAATTTCCGATAATTACTGCCAAAGTTATGGCCCTTGATCACTTTGAAAAATCTTGTGATGCTCTAGAGGCTTATGTTATCATCCGATTGACTTCAGATTGATACATAGCGTTTAAGGTCTTGAAACGAACATTGATTTCAATGAATTTTGATCCATGATATTAAATATTTCGTATACTAAACGTTAACATTGGGCAGAAATTTATAAAAACCAAACAAATTTTAATGATTTTTTGATAATTACTTAATGAGTTGTTACTCTTAATCAGATTTAAGTGTATTATAATTGTTTCATTACTGAAAAAGTAAAAATATGCGACAACTCTTGTTGACTGCCCGGACGATTTAGTTGCTGTGGGCGTGTTTCGTTGCCTGGCAACCTATATTTTAATTTATTTTCCATCTTTCATTTTATTATACGCCCACATTTTCATGTGGACACAAATTGTTGTCACCCCTGTCCGTCCACAATTTGTTTGTGGACACTACAGGTATTGAATTGAAACTTCATGGATTATGGACCCTGAATGTACGAAAAATCACGTTTTTAGCTTGTGGACACGCTAGAGGCCACAATTTTGATGACACTTGAAATACATGTTTATAACGCAAAGATTTTGGTTGCTTTCAATATTCACGCATATCGGATTGTAACTTCCTGAATTGTGGCCCTTGATTGTACGAAAAATCATGTAGTTACGTGTAGTTAGCTTGTAGACCCTCTAGAGGTCACAATTTTTATCCGATTTAAAAAAAAACATTTGTATATATCACTGTTACACCCTAATGATGGTCGAGTGTGGATTTCATGAAAATCGGTTGAAAACTTCTGGACAAAATGACCGTCCCTTGTACGCAAATAGTGTAAATATATGGTATATCAAGATCTAGGTTCCTTTCGATAATCGCGGTTACGGGGTCGTAACTTCCTGAATTATGGTCCTTGATTGTAAGAAAAATTGCGTTTTTATCTTGTGGTCCATCTAGAAGTCACAATAGTACGCAAAAAGTGTAAAAGTATGTAATACGCAGCTTGTGGTCTCTATAGAAGTCACAATTTTTATCCGATATTGATGAAACTTGAAATTGTATGATTATAATCCAAAGATCTTGGTTCCTTTCGATATTTGCGCATATCGGACTGTAACTTTCTGGATTATGGCCCCTGATTATACAAAAAATCATGTTTTTAGTTTGTGGACCCTCTAGAGCTCACAATTTTATCCCATTTTAAAAAGCGTTGAAATGTATCACCGTTAAACCTTAATGACGGTTGAGTTCAAATTTCGTGAAAATCTGACTCAAACTGCTTGACAAAATGGCTGCTCCTTGTACACAAATAGTGTAAAAGTATGTAATACATGTACCAAGGTTGTGGACTCTAGAAGCCACAATTTTTATCCAATTTTGATGAAACTTTATATATATTTTTATCCCAAGTATTTCAGTCTATTTCGATATTCGCGCATTTCAGACCATAACTTCCTGGCCCATCTCTTGCAAAATGTGGGCGTATCTTTCTGGCAACCGCTGATTTTACATATTTTAAATCTGTTTTGTTATTGTCTCGCAAAAATGCTGCAATCATTCCAAGACATGTCCACAAATTTTATTTTATATAAGTGAGATCTTATGCCATGTAGAAAATTGAACCATAAAGACAAATGGAATAAAGATAAATTTAATTAGAAAGATCCAAGGTCTTATATTGTTTGGGGCCCAGCAAGCGATTGCTTGTTTACAATCTCGGAGCTAAAGTTCTCATTGAATAGCTAATTAAGTGACATAGTGCTTTGAAGAAGCCATCAAAATTTAATTATTAATGATAATTACTTTATGGATTAAAGAATAATAATTAAAATATTTTTATTTCAGTTCGATGGGTTGGAGTTGGAAAAGACAGGTTTTCAATTATAGAGATATGAACTTTAGAAATTCATCCAATAACTGCTGAAAATGTAAATAGTATGGTTGCTGTTGGGCATTAAACTCCATCCCATATAATTCAAATAACCACTGATCACCATTAGTGTGAAATGTCTTTTGCTTTCCTAAGACCTGACGATCATGACCTAGCCACACACTGACACTAATAACTACCCAAAACTAAACCCTAACCGAAGCCCTGGGTCATGATGATCAAGACAAATAAAATAGCAAGAGGGCATTTTACATGAACAGCACTACTAATCATGCTAAATCAGTTGTTACAGGGTAAATCAACAGTATTGTTAGAACAGAGTTAAATAAGTTCTTCCAAAAATTTTCATAACCTTTAAGGCTCTTGTCCACACTTTACAAATTATTTTATGCCATTCAAGTCTTTTACAGTGTCACATACCCATATGTTGCTTGGTTGTAGTTTCAATCCTACTACAGAAAATTGTTTCACTAAAAACTATGGAATATTCAACAGAGAATCTTGTAGAAATGGGTACTTAAAGTCTGATTTCTGGGTGTTTTTATTTCTATTTATTTAAAGTTGCTGATATCATCATTTGCATTTTTGGAACAATGTCTAATACTTCACGGTCTATTCCATGCAAAAATGTACTCTCATTGATAATTTAACATTTAGTTAAAAAAAAAAATTAAAATATCAACAGATAATCTCTCAACTTGGATTTAACAATAGGTTTTAGTGAAGATTATATGTTGCCTGTTGACATATATCCCATTTATATCATCTACAACAGATGTCTATTGTTTACAAATTTTCAATTCATATCTTTGTAAATACTAAACTGAATTGATCCATTTTGAATCTCATATCCTACTTAGAGATTCTGTTATCACAATGGTAGTTTTCGAAGGAATAAGATATCCCTCGAATGAGATCAGAGACTTTATGTATGATAATTGTTATACTTTGAATTTGTGGGCAGCTTTAAGTAAGTGAAATTTCAAACAGCTTATTGCATTTATGGGTTCTTTATATTAGGGAGTGGTTATGGGTTATACACAGAAATATATCCTATTTTTAATTTTTGACAACTATTTTTTTGAAATGTGTGTGTAAGTATATATATGTAATCTTTTTAATAAATGTTAAATTAAATTGTAAGACAAACAATAATGCACAAATGAACTGAGATTTATATACATTATTAAATTACTGAATTTTATTTGTGTACTATACTCAGTTTTAATTGATCAATCAACATATAGTTAATGCAAAACTCTTTTAAATATATATCTTTTATGAAAATGTGTTTTTTTATGATTTGAAATCTCTTGCCATAGTTGTGCCAATTTTTAAATTCTTAAAGGCAATTACTGTCAACTCCCATGACAACTGTCTAATAAATCTTGAATATTCTGCTTTAGAACCCATGCGATTTTTCATGTCAACAAAATTAATATGAAAAAAAACAAACCAGTTTTGAAAAGATATTTGCATAACAGATACTGTTAAGATTTGATTTGCACATTAATATTTACTGAAAATTCCTTTTAAATGCCAACAAAATGTTAAGATGCACTTCATTTTAAACAAAACCATCTTGGTAATTAATATTTTGTAGAGAGATGATATTCTTGATATGATAACTGTCTTGTTAACTATTTCAATAAAGTGATATTTTAGTATTAAAGATTCCTACATGTCCTATTAAATTTATAATATTGAATAAACTGTTTTAATGTGCATTGTTTGAGAGTATTATTTTTATACACCCACATTTTCATGTGGACGTATTATTCCGTCTCCCCCTGTCCTTCACACTTGTTGGTGGACATTTTTATCTGATTTTGACAAAACTTGAAATATAGGTTGATATCCCAAAGATCTCGTTTCTTTTCGATATTGGCCTGTGTCGCACCGAACAAAATCATGTTTTTAGCTTGTGGACACTCTTAGAGGTCACAATTTATATATGGTGTTCGCCGAGAATGATTCCCCCAGGGTTTTTATATGCCCACATTGAAATGTGGTCGTATCTTGCCGTCGTCCCCATCGTCCATGCACTTGCTGCCATTCAGTGCAGAGCTCTATCTTCGAAGTTATCTGTGTGACGGCTGCACTTCGCCCTCAAATAACCATTCACCACACCACACCTATTATAGTCTCTCTCTTTCTGTCCCTTTCCACACACTTGATACCTTTCACCTCAACTACCAACATCAGCCACGTACACCAAAGTCTCCCACATCCACCTTATCTCTTCATCTTCCATCTGATCCATCCATCTTACACCTGCCACCCTTCCAGTTCCACCAGTCTTAAATCTGCCAATCTCCATCTTCACCGTCCATATTTCAGCATGAGCCACGCTTGAAATTATTCAAAGAAACCGCTTAATTAAGTAATACGTGCATTCAGTTTCACGATCGTTTTGTGGCGCTTCTTTGCTCATGGTTGTTCTCGACTCTGGTTACCAAGGGACCTATGTATACTTTTCTTGACCAAATACAATGACCGAAACATAATGTTATATACCCTGTATGTATCATTGTGTTGAGCATTGATCAATTGTCACAAATCCTTTTAAAAAAGGATTTGTGACAATTGATCTATCTCCAAGTGGACATGACCGGAGAAAGACCCAACGTCTATAATATTCAGTAAAAAATTGCATTGGGTTCCAATAGTGGTGTATAAACTATAATGTACAGGATTTAATCGTTGAAGTCAGTATTATAAAGACAAGATTTTTGTAGTATAATCACTTGGGCTCTAGACCCTCCAATTTTTTATCCGATTTTGATAAAACTTGAACTATAGGGTTATATCTCAAAGATCTCGGTTCCTTTCGATATTGGCATGTATCGGATCGTAACTTCATGGATTATGGCCTCTGATTGTACGAAAAACCGTGTCATTAGCTTGTGGATAATCTAAGAGGTCACATTTTTATCCGCTCACATTTTAATGTGGACGTATAATGTCGTCGCCCCTGTCCGTCCGGTCACATTTTTATACGCCCACATTTTAATGTGGACGTATTTTGTAGTCGCCCCTGTCCGCCCGTCCGTCCACAATTGTTTGTGAACACTCTACAGGTCACGATTTTTATACGATTTCAATGAAACTTGAAATATAGGTTTATCACCCAAAGATCTCGGTCCCTTTCGTTATGGGCATGTATCGGACTGTAACTTTATGGATTAAGGCCCCTGATTGTACGAAAAATCATGTTTTTAGCTTGTGAACACCTTAGAGGTCACAATTTTTTATCCGATTTGGTTTAAACTTGAAATGTATGTTAATAACCCACCGATCTCGGTTCCTTTCGATATTCGCGCAGATCGGACCATAACTTCCGGAATTATTGCCCCTGATTGTACGAAAAATCGCGTTTTTAGCTTGTGGACCCCATAGAGGTCACAATTTTATTCCGATTTAAAAAAAAAACGTTACAATATATCACCATTACACACTTAGATCTTGGTTCCTTTTGATAATTGCGGATACCCGAACTTAACTTCCGCGATTATGGCCCTTGATTCTTCGAAAAATCGCATTTTTAGCTTGCAGATTCTCTAGAGGTCACTATTTTTTCCCGATTTTAAAACCCGTTTAAATGCATCACCATTCCACCATAATGAGGGTTGAATTCGTATTTCGGTAAAATCGAAATGAAACTGCCCGACAAAATTGCCGCTCTTTGTACACAAATAGTGAAGTGTGTAATACGAAGGTTGTGGACCCTCTAGAGGTCACAATTTTTATCTGATTTTGATGAAACTTAAAACACATCTTTATATCCCAAAGATCTCTGTCCCTTATGATAATTGCACATTTCAGGCCATAACTTTCTGGATTATTGCCCCTGATTCCCCGGTTGAACGTGACAAGGCGTAGGGTCGCCTGTTCAACCTCGTCGGTTTTCTACAGGTCCTCCGATTTCCTCCCACTGCTAAACACCCCTACGCACAAGCTTATTGAAATAAAATTGAACCATATGTTAGTCCCGAAATGACTTAGTTTGTGTCGAGTGGACGTTAAACCCCATTTCTCTCTCTCCCGACAAACTAGTATCGTGTCTGATAATCTTTGGTGGTCTGCATACCAGTGTAGTTCCTTTTGTTTATAGTCTTGCTCTCTCCTCTTTTACGTGGTTATTTTAGTTGACTTTTGGCCTGGTATCGAAGGAGATGGGATTGGTAAATATTGATCGTTTATATTTTGGATGTAGAAGGCTAAGTCAAGCAAGACATTGGTTACGGCCATATGAACGGTAGATAGTTACTGTGCTACTTTTAAAAAGTTTGTGTATCTCAATATTTCCTTGGTCAGACTTTGGAGCAAAGACATAGCCAGTTGGTGCTCTGTCTGTAGTGAAAAGCGTTGAGTCCAACGAAAAATTGTAGAAAAGTTGGGAAACTTCGAAAGAGACCAGAATTAAAACAGAAAGTCAAAAAAGAAAATAATAGTGGTCTTTATCCACTTTTGTTCAATTTCAATGTAGTTGCATCCCCTGAATACAGGACACCCTTTTAAAATCTTTGCATCAATCTTATGTGCAAGATGGCTGACCTTTTAATTCGCGTGCAGTAAAGGTTAGGTGTGACGCCACAGCATACGGCTTCGATAACGCGTTCATTATTTACATCGGACGTAGTAACATTTAGTCCGGGAGCTAGGTGGGTTTTGTTCAACATGGAAGGTGCGGAAGGTTTAGCATGTTAGTGGTGTATGACTGTGTTAGGAAACCCCAGAAACCCAATTCTTAAGTTGCGCCAGTGGTGGGTGTGGCAGGAGGTGCCACCCATAGTACCCCCCAAAATGGGTTTATTCAACATGGAAGGTGCAAGTTCCACTTCAATGGCATTTGATAGAGGAATGTGCCCTGAATTAGGAAATATAACTTAAAAATGGGATTTTTGGTGGAAAGGCCACTTAAGAAGAGGTCAAATGTCACTAATTAGCAATTTTTCGATTTTACTGAAAACGATTTTTCCATTATCTCGTGATCTATTCCAAGTATATTGCACAAAACTACATGGACATTTTTGATAGTGCTAGGAGCAAAAATATGAGACATAAAATAAATGAAGTTTTAGCTAAAAGTATGACATAATCTCAATAATAACGAAAATATCACTCGAACCCCATCGGTAATTAAAATGTTAATCAACATGAAAGGTGCGAGTGAGAAACCAAGCCTAAATTGTACGGAATGATATCAGAAATCATTATCATCAACTTAAGAATGAAATTTCTGGTGGTCAGTGTACTTAAGAAGAGAATAATGCTGGTCTGCACCGAATGACCCCTAATTAGAAATTTAATTAACATGAAAGATGCGACATTGGAACAAGGTGTAAAATGTAGGGACTGATCATAGGATTCACAACCACTAACTTAAAGTAGCTAAGTCTCTAACTCAATATCGTCCAAAATCTTCGACATTGAAAACACGAATTATTTGTCACTTTAAATCAACATTGATGTTGTGATCTTACCGGGAAAAGATGGGCTTCTGATATCCAATATTTAAGACAAAATAAACATTTTACCATTGGTACACGAATCGTGTACCATAATGCGTTTCAGCGTCATTTGTAACAAGGGACTCGAAGAACGAAGCTAGACATAATCCACAAGTCACGTCAAACGGTGACGGCATATTCTTATCTGGGGAGCATGCACAATAGATACTATCGGTGTAGACTGGAATAAGCAGGCGCTAGAGGTTGCCATTCGATTAAGACTTCTGGCGTATTTCGCCGAACATAACTGATTTGAAGTTAGAGTAAAAAGGGAAACGATTGAATGTAAATCAGTTTATATACATTCATATTACATTATTTTATGCGTTGCGAACCATTTGTGTCAATTTCTAGGTCCCAAATATTAGCGACTTAGCTCCTTTAAGAATGAACTTTTAGGTGTCCTTCTCTCAACTATCTTCTGGCGATGGGTGCTGGGTAATTCCTGATTTATCAGCGCTTCCCGACATTTTTGCGACAAAAGATGCCCCTATGGATTTGTAGTGACACTTCTGATTCGCAAGGAGGACTCCTGCTATCATCGATGCCCTTTAGTTTCCCCAGAAGATTTTTGCCTTTGGCCCATTGCGTCTTCTCAAACACGATGTAGCGATATCATTCACCGTGCAGATGTATGGGGCTAAGCGACAAGCAATCTCCTCACTCACCAGGCATCGCTACACCGTGTTTGAGAAGACATAATGGGTCTTAGGCAAGATGTAAAACTCTTCTGGAGAAACTGAAAAGGGCATCAATGGTAGTATGATTCCTCCCTGCGAATCAAAAGTGTCACTACAGATGGCAAGGGCATTTTTGGTCGCAAAGATATAGGGAAACGCTGATAAATCAGGAATTAACCAGCACCCATCGCCAGAAGATGGTTGGGAGTTTAAGGAAAGACAGTATGGTTTAATGGTCCTGAACTATGGGAGTCATGGGTTGAGGAAGACATTGCGAATCAAAAGTGTCACTACAGATGACAAGGGCATTTTTGGTCGCAAAGATATAGGGAAACGCTGATAAACGCTGATAAATTAACCAGCACCCATCGCCAGAAGATGGTTGGGAGTTTAAGGAAAGACAGTATGGTTTAATGGTCCTGAACTATGGGAGTCATTGGTTGAGGAAGACATTGAGGAGCCACCCTCCCCCTTTTTGGGGAAATTCTACATATATTAACCAGAATTAATCTGTTAGTGCAAAACAACGAAC